AGTTAGGTTACACGGACACGGGATATAAGATATAAAACGTATAAAATATGATAATTTTTAAAAAAGATAGGACATTCACACGCTTAGAACACAATACACTAAATAAGTAATACATTAATATTTCAAATAAATAAATAATCATTTATAATAACTCATAAACATAAAAATAAGAAAAAAAAATACTAAATTTCTTATTTCAACGACACAAAAATAAATTAAAAATACTCGATATTTTTTGGTAACAAAAAAAAAAAAAAACGACACAATAAAAATCAAATTTCAAAAATTACGTCATGATTTGTTGTGGTACACGAAAGAAAAAGAAAAAATAAAGCAGCATGTGGTTGAAGTTAGACATTCGTCGTGATAGCAGCTACGTGCGCTCACATACCAGCGAGTCTAGGGTTTTTCAAAACGGACACGGAACACGCAGCATCATCGGACACGTAACAACGATTCAATAATTTTTAAGAAAAGCTCAGGACACTCCAATCCACATGCCTGTAGACACACACTACACTAAAATAGTGAATGACATTTAAAATCAATTTTGCATATATACAATACAATAATCATTTCATAATGAAAATCCAGTACACCTAAAGCAGATACTTAGACTTTCTTCATTTCAAGTAGACGACACAAAATAAATTAAAAAGAACGTTTACTTCTTTATGGTGGTAATAAAAAAAATCTTGGTTCGATGTAGGCTTTAGTATATAGGAATAATTTTATATATCGCAGGCAGCTAGGTTTGCAACGAACACAGCACCACGAGATGCAGACGGAAGACGTAATGAATATCTGAATGAATTTTTAAAAGGTAGGACGTATCTATATACTTAAGGCAACACCACTGAACATTAAATACAGTAACTTACCAGTCTGAGATATGTTCAAATAAAATACAATAATAAATTTAATAATAAACTTGATCAAAGCATAAAGAATACAAAAAACTGATCTTTCTTAATTGTCAATGCACAGCGCAATACAAATTTTAAAAAAAAAAATAACTTCAATTTTTTATTTAGTAAATTAAAAAAGAAGCCTCTTGGGTTGAATTAACTCTGGTGTAATCTGAGTAGTCTCATACTGCCCGGGAGCTTGATTGCACCCGAACTACATGGGACACGAGATAACGGAAATATATGATTAATAACGCATAATTTTTTAAAGAATAAATAAGTAATACATTAATATTTCAAATAAATAAATAATAAATTATAATAAATTATAAACATAAAATAAAAAAATGATTTCTTATTTCAATGCACAAATACAAATTTTAAAAAAAAAAAACTTCATTTTTTATTAGTAATAAAAAAACTTTGGTTGATTAACTTGGTGTATTGAGTAGTCTCATATGCCGGGAGCTTGATTGCACCGAACACGGGACACGAGATACGAAAATATATGATATACGATAATTTTTAAAAAAGTAGGATATTCATACGCTTAGAACACACTATACTAAATAAGTAATAAATTAACATTTCAAATAAATAAACAATCATTTACAATAAAATAAAAACTTAATTTCTTATTTCAATGATAATTTTTTTAAAATTTGGTTAATTAACTTAGTGTATGGAGTAGTCTCATATACCTAGAGTTAGGTTGCACGAATATGGTACATGCGATACGGAATGTACATGATACGATATTTTTTAAAAAGTATGACATCCATATGTGTAGGACACACTATACTAAATAAGTAATACATTAATATTTCAAATAAATAAACAATTATCTATAATAAATCAATAATAGAAAATTTTTTAAAAAAAACTTAATTTCTCATTTCAATATAATTAGTTAAATTCTTAAAATTATTATCACTATCGAAAAATATATTAATAGTATGTATGCATTTTTTTATATAGAGCATACCCAGTGTGACTTTTACTATTGTATACCTTATGAAATGTTTCATATGATACTTAAGAAAACACATCTTAGCGTTGCAATTTGTTTAGCATATCTCAATGAGATACAATTTTGATGCATTTCACGATCATTTTATTACACAATTTTTAGAGGTGTCAAAATAGTCATGACACACGAACACGATTCACTTAACACGCGAAATAAACGGGTTAAAGATTAAGGTTAAATTGTTATCAAAAATCATAAACGAGTCACTCATTTATGACACGAATATAAACATATCGTGTCATGGGTTGACCCGCGGGTTATGTAATGACCTGTTTATTTAAAGATAGACATAAAAACTCCAACTAAAATCCTATTTAAACTTTATTGTTGTATTAAATTTTTTTTTTTTAATTTTAGTTATGAGCCTTGAAGAATCTATGCATTTTATATATATAGATTTATTTTTAAATATAATTTGAGTTAAATAGGTTAAAACTTTTTTTAAAAAAAAAGTTAAGTAGGTCATATATAGGTCAACATGACTCACTTAACCTATTTATAATATTAGACGGGTTATTAGACAGGTTACACAAGTCTTATATGGGTCAATATGATTCACTTAACCTGTTTATGATATTAAGCGGATTACATGCGATGTTCATGTTAACAAATTTGACACGATTAGTAAATGGGTCGCATTTGTGTTGACCCTAATTTTGTTGCATGTTAGGCAAATCTATGTTGAACCTGACACGCCAATTCATTTTGACACTCCCAATAATTTTATTATTTTTGAATGATGTTATAAAATTTTATTTCATCATTTAGTATTACTACGTGCATCGCGCGGGTTCTAACATTAATTAATTAATTACGTTAATATAGTCAGTGTATTAAAATTAATAACATGTTCACAATTGTCAAATATCACATGTATTAATTGCATAGACGTTGTTATTGTATTAAAATAAAATTAATGACACATGTTTTCAATTCTCAAACATCATTATAATCAAACGTTGGATCTCTTATTTAAGAAATACGAGTCATTTCCGATCAGACCAATCCCGTTAATTATTGCAAATAATATTTAAAATTCAATATGAGAGTATATTAAAAAATGTATAAATGTAATTTATGTTAGAATAATACTAATTGGCAAAATAAAAATAGCCTATATATTTTGAACAGAGGGAGTATCTATCCATTTTGATGTGACGGTAAAAAAAGAAAGGGAAAATAATTATTTCGTCCCTGAGATTTTCCATAATTATTTAAGTAGTTCCTGACATTTATACAAATATTTATAACATCCCTGAGGTTTACTTCCGTCTTATTAATTGGTCATTCCGTCCAAAAAACACACTTTTTCCGTTTATTTTGAGAAGAAAAGATGAAATTATCTTTTATAAGTTTTCATTGTTTCATCCCTGAGGTTTGCCATAATTATTTAAGTAATCCCTGACATTTATATAAATATTTATAACATCCTGAGGTTCACTTCCGTCATCTTATTTGATCATTTCGTCCAAAAAACTTTTCTGTTAATTTTTAATAGAATGACCAAACTACCCTAAATCCTCTAATTAACATATTCTTTTTCAACTCTTTTGCTTTCCTTCTCACTCACTCACAAAAATGGTATTAACAAATTCCATAGAGCTCAAAGCAAAATGAACAACATCTACTTGAGCATCAAACATGTTCATGTACTTAATCTTTGCATTTGCATCCAATGCATTACTTTGCTTAATAACCTCAGCAATTAATCTCAAAAACAACAACCATATGCAAAATCTGCCAAAAAGAAGACCAATATAGAAAAGCAAAAATTTACACAGCACATTTAGCTTACTTTGTTCACTTGAAACCCGACACCACCATTAACAAATTCTCATGTAAATTTTAAATCATAAATTGTAAACTAAATTTAAAGTAATCACCGAGTTTGATTTAAATCCAAAATTGAACAAGCAGATTAGAAATTTAGAAATTTACCCAAAATTTAGATTAAAATTTCTAAATTTTGGGTAAATTTAGATGATTTAAGGTAGTTGAAAGGGAGGATATGTTAAATAGAGGATTTAGGGTAGTTTGGTCATTTTATTAAAAATTAATAAAAAAATGTGTATTTTTTGGACGGAAAGATTAAATAATACGACGGAAGTGAACCTCAGGGATGTTATAAATATTTATATAAATGTCAGGGACTACTTAAATAATTATGGCAAATCTCAGTGACGAAATAATGAAAACTTATAAAGGATAATTTCGTCTTTTTCTCTCAAAAATTAACAGAAAAAGTGTGTTTTTTGGACGGAATGACCAATTAATATAACGTAGCAGGATGTTCAGGGTACGTTTGGTGCACTCTTTTACTTGAAAAAATTCAATAAAAAATGTGTAATTCTTTTTGGACGAAAGCATTAAATAATACGACGGAAGTGGAACCGTCCAGGGATGTTATCAAAATATTTATATAACTGTCATGGGACTCACTTTAAGATAATTATGGCAAATCTTCAGTGACGAATAATGCAAGAACTATAAAGGATATTTGTCTTTTTTCTGCCGGTCAAAAAGTTAACCAGACAAAAGTGTGTTTTTGGACGGAATACCCCATTAATAAGGACGGAAGTACACCCACGCAAATAATGAAAACTTATAAAGGATAATTTCGTCTTTTTCTCTCAAAAATTAACAGAAAAAGTGTGTTTTTTGGACGGAATGACCAATTAATAAGACGGAAGTACACCTCAGAGATGTTATAAATATTTGTATAAATGTCGAAGACTACTTAAATAATTATGGCAAACCTCACGGATGAAATAATTATTTTGCCAAAAAGAAAAAAACAAAATCCAAAAGTCATTGTCGAGTGAGTTAGGAAATAGAATACGGTGGGAAACAACTGAGCATAAAGGAATACGACCGTTAATTTATCTCCCTTTAGTCAAGTTTAAGGTTAATCGCTCCACTAGATAAATTTGACCTCTACGTCGTCGTTTTCTTTATCTTTCAGTCACCCAACAAAAACCATACCATACGACCGTTAATTTCATCTCGTTGCCGCCTACGCATCATATAAAATGAATACTTCTTTCTAACAACCAGAAGAATAAAAAAATATAAATGACACAGAGAATGAGTAGAGATTGCTAAAAAAGCAAAAACAAAGCAGAAAGGCGAAAATCAGAAAGCAGAGACCTTTTTGCAGCCCAAACTAAGTCCACTGTTATTGTGTTATAGCTGAAGTCGTATACAACAGAACACAAGGCGAAGCCTTTTGATCGACGAAGCTCTTCTTTTCTCTCTCTAAAACTGAAATTGACTGAGTAAAATTTCGACAGACCAGAATTTGGCAGATATTCTGATCTTTTGGCATTCTTTTTATCTAGTTCTCTTTTTATCTTCATCAATGGGAGCTCGCTGCTCCAAATTCTCGCTCAGCTGGTTTCACTCTCATCTCAAGCCTTCCGTTCTCGAATCCTCTGATATCGGTATAATTTTTTTTTTTTTTTTAATTCGGTTGGTGGCGTTATTGTAAATTAGAGAAGGAAATTCAGCAATTTTGTCATTTTAATTGCAGAAAATGGATGCAAAAATGACAGAAATGTATGGCCGAGGTTTACCGAGTTTAGTTTGGATCACCTAAAAGCTGCGACGAGTGGTTTTGCTTCAGATAATATAGTATCGGAGCATGGAGAAAAAGCTCCTAATGTTGTTTACAAAGGGAAGCTCGATAATGACCGATGGATAGCCGTTAAACGATTTAACAGACTGGCGTGGCCCGATTCTCGTCAATTCCTTGTCCGTTAACTAACTCCGCTTTCTTTCTCTGGGCTCTGTTTGGTTGTTTAGATTTTTGTAACCATTTTTTTCTGTTGAATAAATATGCCAATTTTTGAAATGTGATTCAGGAGGAAGCGAGATCGGTGGGCAGTCTGAGAAGCGAGCGATTGGCGAATCTGATTGGATGTTGCTGCGAAGGCGATGAGAGATTGCTCGTCGCCGAATTTATGCCCCATGAAACGCTTGCAAGGCATTTGTTTCACTGTAAGTCTTTCAATTTTTTCTTTATAAAACAAATTGTAAGAAATTTATCATGGAAATTATTTGATTAATGATTGTGGACCTAGTCAGTTGTTGCCTATTTCATGCTTTGTTCTATTTATTAATATATCAAAGGATTTTAAAATACCTTTTCAAAATATTTTTACAGAAAGTATTTCAAAATTTTTTTTTCCAACCAATACTTGCATTGTTTTTAACCTGAACAGAGTAGATATTTGAAACAAAGGATTCTTGTAACTGATCCCAATTAGTTTGGGACTAAGACTTGGTTGTTGTTGTTAGTGTTGTTGATTGGTGGATTTAATGCAGGGGAGAAGCAGCCTATGAAATGGGCAATGAGGTTAAGAGTAGCTCTCTATTTGGCACAAGCTCTAGAGTACTGTAGCAGCAAAGGGAGGGCACTGTATCATGATCTTAATGCCTATAGAATTTTATTTGATAAGGTATACGTGGCTAGTTTTTTTGGTGGATCCATTAATTATAGTTTCTGGCTCATTGTTTTTGGTTTGGTGATTCACAGGATGGTAATCCTAGGCTGTCTTGCTTTGGACTAATGAAGAATAGTCGAGATGGCAAAAGCTATAGCACAAATTTGGCTTTCACCCCTCCAGAATACTTGAGAACTGGTAAAAACTGTTCCTAAGAGCATTTTAAGATCATAAATTAGTGAAAAATGATTACATCTTCATCTGACCTATTAGTTCTAGATGTCATAGGCCAGGAAAAGGCTGAAAACTAATTAGGTTGTTAGATCACATATTATGAGAAACATGTATGTGGTTGAATTATGAATCACAACAAATGCCATGCATTTTCAATTCAACTCACATTTAAAAGAAGCATGATGTTGCAACTTTGCAGGTAGAGTGACACCAGAGAGTGTTGTGTACAGCTTTGGGACACTCTTGTTGGATCTTCTCAGTGGCAAGCATATTCCTCCAAGCCATGTAAGTTTTTTCTCCTCCTGAATGATACATCTTAATCTTGGTTACGGTGGTTGGAGTTAAATTGGAAATGTAGTGTATGATTATATTCTTGTCAACTAGTATTGCAGTCTGGCATGCTTATTATGCCTAAATTCACTGAATCACACTGCTTTTTGGATTTTTATTTGCAATATTCTATTGATCTTTATATCTTAGGCTTGTCTTTTCACCATTGCATCGAGATTTATGTTTCGAGAATTGACTATTGAGCTGCATTAAAGCAATGAATTTGTTGAAAATCATGTGATTCTTTTGATCCCCTAGAGTTGAAGGACTTTGCCATGAAATTGTTTCTAAAGTTAATACCTCTAGTGTTTTCTAAAATTGGTTACTCTTCACAACACTTTCACCTGTTCGATGAAAGTAGACTGAAAGCCTCAATGTTTTTTAGTAAGCGAGTTCAATGAGAATTTGGATTCATGTATGTTGGTCTTTCTTAATTTGAAAATGTTTTTCAGAAGTGTTTTTCTTTCAAAGTATGGAAGGTTGGCAAAATTTGCATTTTGATTGGCTGTTGGATTAAATGATTCTGATCAATCTTCTATCATTTAAGCTTTCAGTTTGTATTTTAGCTTGACTGCTTATTATTCTTTCAGGCACTTGACCTGATCCGTGGAAAGAACTTCCTTATGTTGATGGATTCTGCTCTGGAAGGTCATTTTTCAAAAGATGATGGAACTGAATTAGTTCGATTAGCTTCCCGCTGTTTACAGTATGAAGCTCGTGAGAGACCAAATGCAAAGTCCCTTGTCACTTCACTTACGACACTTCAGAAAGAAGCAGAGGTAGAGACGATAATTGATTGAATTTTACTTTCTTTAAGTTAGAGTTGCTTTGAGAGTCAGAAATGGTGTGCTTCATTTTGTTTATATCACTGGTTCTACTTCTGCTGAACCATGTTATAAAAAAGGCTTTAATTTCTCACCAAATGAAGTTTTAGCAGGTTCCGTCTTATGTTTTGTTGGGTATCTCGCATGAAACTTCATCGTCGATGCAGCAATTATCATTAACTCCCTTTGGTGAAGCATGCTTGAGAATGGATCTCACTGCTATACATGAAATACTGGACAAGATTGGATATAAGGATGATGAAGGGATTGCCAATGAGGTTTTTGACTTGATAACCCAATTCACCTTTTCGTAAACTGCATATCATTCATGAAAAACATGTGGCTGTATGACGACTGATGCCTGATTTGGTAAAATTCAAAAGCGGTCAAAGAACATCTTGTTGTGCTTTAATTCAATATAAGAATAGTAGTGGTATCTGGATGGTTAAGAATGAATTGAGTCAATTGAAAACTTCCCTTTTCCAACATTAAATGGTTAGGATGAGACAAGTTAGGGTGTATAATAAGAGCAGACAAATGGAGAATCTGGGTCCGTCTGGGCAGACAAATTGCATCAAAATTTTCAATTTTTAAGGAACAAGTGAGATGTAGAAAACTGGCTTTTCAATTGTCATTGCAATAAAATAATTAACAAATCAGTTGTCTACTTTCCATCCCTCCTGCAACTTGATTGTTTGCTAACCAAAGCCAATGACCTTCACAGTTCTACTATATATGTCATTTTATAAAAAATTACAAACCATGTTTACCGCTGGTTAAAGCAGGTCTTTTGTCTGCTAAATAAATAAATGAAAATGGTTTTGTGTCTGAATCTTAGAATGTCAGCTTATAACCAGATTCACATTACAGTGCTTTGCTTCAATGTGCTTCTGTTTCTCTTGCTTTGCAGCTTTCTTTTCAAATGTGGACTAGTCAAATGCAGGAGACACTGAATTCAAAGAAACACGGAGATATTGCTTTTCGAGCCAAGGATTTTGCTACTGCCATTGATTGTTATACACAAGTGAGAATTCCTTTTTATTTGTTTTTGTAACATGTATTTTTCTTGTTAATCAGAAAGATAATCTAAATTGCTACTACCATTCTGTCTAAGGACATACGAGAATTGTGTTTGTCACATTTAGCAACAGATGTAGGAACTAGAAATGAGACTTCATATGTTGGATTTTTAAAGGAGCAAAGTTTTGTTTCTTGTGATATGCAGTTCATTGATGGCGGAACCATGATATCGCCCACTGTGTACGCCCGGCGTTGCTTATCTTACTTGATGAGTGACATGTCACAAGAAGCTCTTGGAGATGCTATGCAAGCCCAAGTGGTATCTCCTGAGTGGCCCACTGCCTCTTACCTTCAAGCAGCTTGTCTCTTCAGCATTGGAATGGAGACGGATGCACAAGAAACGCTTAAAGATGGGACCAGATTAGAAGCCAAAAGAAACAAAACCTGAAACTGAAACTGTATAGGTTTCTTTTTCTTTCTTTTTTCTTTTCGCCTCTCCTTTAACTTTTATTAGCTTTAATCATTTTTAGTTTTTGTAATTTTGTGTAGGCTATTTATTTTATGTAGTCCTCCTACATTCCCGCTTCATTTTGAGGTTTTGGTGACATTACAGGATTGAAGATGTTCAGTAATTGTTGTTTTGTGTTGAATGCAGTAGTTGATAGGGAATAGGGATGTGCACGTGACTGCTGGAATCTCGATCCGTTCTTGAAAACGGTCCTAAATTTCCTATCACGAGTAAAAGCTAATATTAATTTAATAATTCTGTCTCGAATTTTATTCTGAAAGTAATTATGGGACGAGATTGATTATTTGATGAAAACCAATCCTTGCCGGTCTAAGTTCTATTCCATTCCAAAAATTGGGAATTGCCGTCCCATTTTTTCCTTAAAATTTTAATTCTTTTTTTTATGAATTTTAAATTATGTCCATAAAATCATTTCATCTTTTTTATTTTAATTTTTTTTATGATAGAAATTATTGCAAAAGTAATAATAATATAAAAAATAATATGCATTTTTAAATATAAAATAAATCAAGTAATAAAATATATTTTTCAACGTAGGTTTTTCTTCTGTTATTTTACAGCATGTGTCATGAAAGACTTTTTGAATAGTTTTTTTCTATTAAACAAAAAATGACTTTTATTAATCTGGTTACTGGATTATTGAGTGTGATTACTGTTAAATACTATCATTATTTATTTTTCAAATGATATTCAGGATTAAATTAAGTATCACTTATATAGTTTTATATAGTTTTTGCATTATTTTATTATACTTAATACTTTTATTAACTAGAAAATAACTATTTAAAAATATTGTATTATAACTTTAGTAGCAGATCATCAATGATTGAATTTTTTTTTAACTCAAACTTATATAAATGGATTTTGTTTGATTATAATCTATGAAAATAGTAATTTTTTTTATCTTTTTTGATGAAAAATAATTTAGTAAGTCTACAGAAAATCTCAATTGATTCTTAATCCAATCCATTCCGTCCTATCCCATAAAGTCAAATTCTTACCGGTCATGTCTTAGAAAATGGGATGGAATGGGATGAGACAAAATTATATATCTATTGGGACGAGATTGAAACTCTATTTTTTATATCTCGATATTTTAGAATGAGACCAGGAATTATGTAATTCTCGTCCCAACCCGACTCAATAAAAAAAGAAATAGCTGAAATCATATATATATATATATAAAGAAAATAACAAAGAAATGAAGAGTTTCATGTTAAGAGGTTTTAAAAAATAACTTCCAGCCAAGCAAGCTGTGCGTATTCTGTTTGTTAGTAAAACCCAACTCTACATACGTCAGCAAGCAGTAGCAAGACAAGCATAGCATAAGCCATAAACGGCATAGTATAGCACTAAAATAAATCAAAATCCAACATCCAAGCACCAAAAATTGAAAGTAATTTCCATGGAACAGCTTTGATAATGATGATTGTAAACAAATAGATATACGGCAGGCTCTCTATACTGTATGAACGTATAACTAACAACGAACACTTGAGGCTCTGAACTATTTTGTCACTCAGCAACATAGCAAGAGATGCTTCAAGCTCTGCATTTCTGTAATAATTCATTTCTCTCTTTGATTGTCTTCTTCTTCTTTCTTCCATATATGCATTTTCCTTTCTTGGAAGCAGGTTGGGTTTTAATTTTGTCTCAAGAGGCCTTCTACAGTTTACGAAGATGGAACATTGAAGTGAAAGAGCCATGATATGACAAATGCAAATACCATGCAGGCAAGCAGAAAGTTCAGAAAGCGATGGCCGTGCCAGAAGCTTCGAGTTTCTGAATGGGGTACCGATACCGAGACTGCTGCAGCTGTTGTTGCATTGTTAGGCTCATTTGACTGTTCTACTGTCTCAATGTCATTTACGCCGACAACATTGCGAGCAATGGAATGACAAATCTCACAGGTCCTGATAGATATCAAGCACAATAAGTGAATATGAAAGACAAAGCAAATGTAGAACATAAGATGAGACAAACATTTCATGATGTAATGAACGAATGGAATCTATTACAAGATCAACAACACACTTTGAAGTTGAAAAGAGATTAACTTACAAAAAAACGGTCATAATTCAAAATCCTAGGAATGATTGGGAGCAACAATAAAAAGGACACCTAATTAAGCATAGCATTCAAACATAATAACAATTGCTTAGTACATGCCTCGTAGTGCAGGAGGTCAGGGCTCCAAATCCTCACTATCCTCCTCCCATTCAACAATTTCCAGTGTACCAAAAAAGTGAAACAATTGTTTAGACAAAGAATTTGGAAAAGTTTAGGGTTCTAATTTCAACCTGATACTATAACACACAAGACATTACATATAATATTTGCCTATTTGCCTACACCATCAGCATAAGAATAATATTCCATGATAGTGTCCATAGCACATTCTCGGCATATATTTTTCATGCTTTCACACGACGAAAAGATCTTCCATTTAAGGAGAAGAATGATTAAATGTAAGCAATTAATTACTACTGAAAACGTGCATTCTTCCCCTGTAATTCTAAAGTGGATTCTTGAATTGAATTGTGGACCTTTATTCAGTTCTCAGATAAAATATTGTCCACAATTTCACCTGCCAACATCTAATAACAACCACAACCATCTCTAGCCAGTATCAGCAGCTTATGATGCTCATACTTAACAACTTATATTCTATGTATTAAAAGTTTAATTTGTCATTAAATACAAACATGTCATTTTCAGCAGCAAGAACCAGGAATCTGTGTTTTGCAAATTATGAAAGAAATCAAGAAATAAACTTCTGTGTATATATATATATATATATATAGAAATCAAAGAATAAACTTCTGTGTATATATATATATATAATATATATATATATATATATAAAGACAGACACTTACATCAACATGGGTCAAATCTCCACTTTCATGAAGAAAAGAGAATCACATAAAGAGAAACACAGAGATTCCTCAACCTGTATGTTAAAAATTAAGGACAGGCTGGCATGGAATTGTCGGTGCAATTACACATTAATTAGGATGTTTATCCATTCTTCACTTTTTCTAACAACTGGTTATATAAACAGAATTTTCTTTTACTTTGTAAGTAATCACATAATCTCCTATATTATATTCAAATGTAATTTGAATCATTTTCTGCATCTTTTTAGTAGGTAATCAGGCATTACTTAGATGGTTATGAACAGTAAAGTACATCATTCTGGAAAACACATGGAAAATTATTAATAATAACGGAAAATTAATCCAGAACAGATAAATTCTTTACTTAATTTTTGTACTTACTTGTTTCCTTTAATCTTGAACCAAGCCTCTGCACACTGTTTGTGAGCAGCAGCCAAATCATCTTTACAAGAGCAGCCCAATTCAATGGGGGCTCCTGATTCATGGCTATTGCTTTCCAGGCCCAAATGGCAAATCCTACAATCTCTCTCTACCTTAGCCAATTGCACTTTCATCTAATCCTACAATCTCTCTCTACCTTAGCCAATTGCACTTTCATCTCAGCTACTCCATTACCATTTTCAATCTCCACTTCTACAGAGTAATCAGACACAGAAGATACCCGTCTAGAATCCAAAACGACACCGTCGGTAATCTCAGGATCGGATACAGAAGCGAAACTGTAATCGTCATATGAGCCACCCGTCGTCGAATAAAACTGAGAGTAGCAAGACCCATCATCTTCTGCATCGGAAAAATTGGTCCCATCACTTCCGGCAATGGAGCGGAGGTGGCTTCCCGACTCCAAATCGACATGTGACATCTCCAGAGCTGACATTTCTAGATTATAAGGGACTCGGGTTGTTTTTTTTTCTCTTCTCTTTTTTGGTGTTGAAAGACACAGAATCAAAGTATTTAAAGTTTGAAGCTCTGAGTGATTTAAAGAAGTTAAAGAAATGGGTATTGGATTAGGTGACTCTGCAACTCCATTAATGCTTGCTTTCGCTAACCAAAATCAAAAGCTTTAAAAAAAGAAAAGAAAAGAAACGAAACGAAGAAAAGAGCCCAACAAATAATAAGAAAAAAAAAGAAATTATTGAAAAATGCTAAATGGAGTCTTTAATGGTGTAAGAGACCAAGACTTATGCTTTTGGAGAAAGAAGACTTGGACAAAGAATAGAAACAGTGTGCAGTATAAGTACCAGAGAACTGAGAGGAGATTTAGATTTTATTGATTATAAAGTTAAAAAAAAAAATTAATAGTAATAAAATTAGAGTTTATTGGAAAAATGAATTGAAAGAAAAAAGAGCGTGGGCGATTTTGTTCTGTGATGGAATCTGTGTCCAATTCAGATTCTGTACGTTTGATAGAATCAGTTTGATGATGTGCGAATCTCTTTTAAGATCCAACGGTCAATATTTGATGAACGCCAAAATCCTTTATAATAGCATTTCACTTCTGTTTCTTTTCTGGGATTTGTTTATCACTTGTCGGCTTAAAAGTAATGTGACTGTCGTTTTCAGTTTTCGGACACAGAAGTGTATAAAATACTATACATTACAATCTAAAAAAAAAAAAAAACTACACATTACATGTATTGTATAAATGGAAAATTATGACGTGTTGTTACTATGTGCACACTTTGATCACATTAAAAGTCGTTATTTTATTTTATGGAGGGAGTGCTTAAAAATCTTTCTCCCTTGATCAAAGATATTGAATTTCAATTTCAAGCCATGTTGAAAAAATCGCTCTCAGTATAAGCTCTGCAAAACTGGATAGAAAATGTTAATTAAAATGGATAGAAAGGTAAATTTAGAATGAAGGTAAGGAGGCATAGATGGGGCGTAGATGCGTAGCATGTGGGAGTGCACGAGTCGTATATATCAGCGTGCCTTTGCGTGAACAACACAAAAGCACTTAGTTTGAAGGTATAAATTTATTTGGAACAGAAATTTAATAAAAGGAAAGTAAAATGTGGGGACACGACTCAGCAAGAAACTCTAAAATAAGATAAATATACTCTTCTCACTCTGGGATAAATTTTTAACGAGAAAAATTAGAGTTATTTATATATACATAGTTTTTTTTTTTTTTTTTTTATTTTTTTTTTTTATATATACAAGTTTTTTTTTTTTTTTTATATATACACGTCCTTTGTTTATAATATAAATCAACTATTTGTATCAGAAATATAATAAGTCAATTTTTATAATCTTTAATACTAACTTTGAATCCAACACTTGCTTTAATCTCTGTTTATGGTTATATAAGTTTTAATAACTAAAGAAATTAGATTTTATAATAATAAGTAAGGTTTTAAGTTAGATTTGTATGTTAATATTAATCACTTGGTTTTCCCTCTTTATATAAATTATATGATCCCACGATCGTAATATTTGATTTCTTGCTACTATATATAACTAAATATGATTTGCTTTTCTTTCTACACGTGTTTTTTTTTTTTTTATTTGCAATCAAGTAAAATATAAGAATTAATTGATTCACAAGCAACTAATAATAGAGTTCTATCGGATTTGTTTTTACACATATATTTTTTATATTTATTTTCCTTATCTCTAAAACAATGTTCATTGATATAATTTAATTTGTTGTTCTTGATTATCGATTTTGTAGATAGTTTAGGATGTTTATTCGTCATGTGGAGATTATTATAGATGTAGAGATTATTAATTGTGTAGATATAAAAATTTTTAATTATTAATCATGCCATAAAATATTAATTTTGATACGCATAGCGGGCGTATCCAAAATCACTAGTTCTGTTTGGTTAACAAACACAACAGCTGAAATCCAAAATAATTTAATGGATTAATTCCACTGAACCCAATAAAGGCCAACCAAACACGTTGTTAATTAATATTGCAATTCGCAAACTGTTCCCTAAGAGAAAAAGACAAAGTAAAAGTAAAGGAAAATAATTGAAGATAGCTTCGACAATTGTTTATTATTCCTTCCTTCGTTTCTGTTAAATTTAATAATTTTTTTTATTTTTAAAAATTAAAATATTATTAATTATTTTTATTTTTATCTAAATATCTGTATTAAATTTTATTTCAATTAATAAGCATTAATTAAAGGATAGCCTAGTTAATTTCCCTTCTTTTTTTTTTTTTTTTTTTTTTTTTTTTTTTTTTTTTTTTTTTTTTTTTGTTAATAAAAGGAAAGCAATCCAAAGACCAGCCTAACATTATTCCCGGAGCCTTGAAAAGCCCTTGGGGAGGGATCTCCATGACATTTTTTTTTTTTTTTTTTTTTTTTTTTTTTTTTTTGTAATAAAAGAAAACAATCAAAGACCAGCTAACATTATCCCGAGCCTGAAAGCCCTTGGGGAGGATCTTCCATGACATGAACTCCCAAATCTGTGGAAGAGACCTGCTTAGTGAGTCAATCCGCACGTGTTTGCCTCGCGAAAGATGCAGATGAGCACAAACCTGCTAAATTTAATGAATGGACGAATTATAAAATAAATTGAAAATATTAATTGATCCGCAGTAATAGAATATAATGTAATTTAATTTATTTTTAATATACAAATTTTTAATGTTAAAACTCCATTAATTACTTCACTAATAATTATCTTCAGTTAAATGATAAAAAAATTTCAATTTGAAAATCTTTTAAAATTATGATTAATTCTTTTAATTTTAAATATTGATATTTACACTTCATTTTTCATAATAATTGCGACTTTCAAATTCAAATTTATCTGATATAGTTATTAAAACTAACAATTTAGTCCAACAAATGACATGCCAACATTGATTGAAAAAAAGCACAAATACATAATTTCATCCCTGAATTGTAACGGAAAATTCTTGTAGTACCTTAAACTTGAAAATTGTTCTCATGGCACTTAAATTTTATTTTTTAGAGTAATCTCACATTTCGTCGTGTTAGTAACTACAATTTTTAAGATTTTTTGGCTTTTATGCAAAATATTAATTTGATATGTGGTTAATACAATTTTTAAAACAACGATTTTTACATTTTTTAATTATCAAATGAGTGTTTAATTGATTTAATTTTATAAGTTGAGTTATTTAATAGGTCAATTAAAATGTTGAATATGTGCAATTTTATAAGTTAAAGTGTTCAATAAGTTAAAATGAAAGTAAAGGATGTCACAATTTTTTTTTTATAAAGAATACAGAGGTGAATTTTATGTTTTGAGCTATTAAAAAAACTATTAACAACAACAAAAAAGAACTCGATCCTTTTGATCGGCTAAGCTTGTTACGTGGCACTAAGTTTTAAAATTTGACTATGAAATGACTTTTTTTTTGTTAAATTTTCTTGTCAGGGCTAATGTGTGAAAATGTACGAAAATTATCAAAATTTATAACTTTACAGATATAATAAGTCTCCCATAGAGTTTAAAAAGTATCAGGCGTGAAATAAATTTACGTATTAGCTGTGAGTTAATCTTTAAATTTCTAGAAAATTTATATATATATATATATATATTTGCTTTAAAATACATTTAGTATTATTGTTATAGATAGCTCGCTCCAGTATGGTTAGTACGTAGTAAATTAATTGCAAAATTGCCATTTGGTTGCAACATCCAATCGTGAAGTCACCGAAGACAACTTTAATATAATCACTTCCCTAGTCCCTACCCTAAAGGATTAGTTTATTGATTCCAAAATATTTGGGTTATCCACCCAAGTCGATGCCAGACTCCAGAATCTGGTTGGTTAAAGCTCAAAAAAGGCTAAAAAGCCACCATTATACATTATTATAAATAAATAAATCGAATAATACAAATTAGAGGTGGAATTCGGGTTTTGTGCAACGCCTTTTAGGAGTAACAATATGGTAATGAACTGGTCAGAAAAGATATGCAATCAATAACGAAAAGCTCCAATACAGTAATGTTCAAAATGAGTTGAAATGTCAACCAATTGCAACTTCTCATTATCTTCCCAATCTCTTTGTATTTCTTGTGTTTATTTCATTCATTGTTTTCTCCAAAGAAGAAATTTATTTGGTTAATCTTTCATTTATCTTTTTCTGTACTAAATTGTGCATGGTTTTCCCGATCCTTTAAGTTATGGGGTCTGATGATGCTATGATCATTGCTATATGGAATTGGTAATTCGTAAAACTGAAATTACAATTTCTTACAATATTTATCATTTATTTAATTCTTTACACAAAAAATATCAGAATTCAAATAGAATTTTATGGTTTGTTTATATAATTTTAGCGTGTAACTTTTTTTTTTTTTTTGGTTTTTGACAAAATATACAGGTAGGAATGGATTTCCTCAGGCAAAAGCAAAGCAATTTCGAAATGTTTTCCTTCTATCAAAGGTTGTTCGAAGCCGACAGGAAAAAGAAAATTAAGAAAAAGGTAAGTCTAAACAAAAGCTCAACCAAAGGATAAAGCTGAAAAGATCCAACAATAGTTACTTTTTTATGTTTCATGTTAAATACTCCCTCTCTAATTATAAAATATAAATCGTTTTTGATTTATTATTTTATCTCAAAATATAAATCATTTTATATATTTGAAAAAATAATAAATTATATTTTTCTAATGTTGTCTTTTTCTATACTAAATACAATAAATATTTTTGCAAGTAACTATTAGTTTGAGATAAATGATAATTTAGTTAAATTATTATTGAGTTTGTTACAATTTATGAAAATTAATTGCTTCTTTAATCCTTATGTAAAAATCTTAAACGATTTATATTTTAAGATAGAAGGAGTACTAAATAATTAAGGATTTAAAAATAAGTGTATGATATAATAATTACTCCTGTCTCAAAATATAAGTTGTTTTTGGGGAATTATTTTATTCTAAAATACAAGTATGTTTTGATTATTTTAAAGAGTAATAAATGATAGTTTTTCAATATTATCTTTATTTATATTAGATATAATAAATACTTTAACAAATAGCTATTGGTTTTAAGATAAAAGGATAATTTAGTTAAATTATCACTGGTTTCGTTATAATTTAAAAAAATTAATTGCTTCCTTAATTTTAGTAAAAAATTTTAAACGACTTATATTTTAATTTAAGTAAAAAGGTATTAGCATATGATTAATACCACCTCAAATAAAATGAATCGATGAGAATTCAAGAAAAATAAAATATTTATTAATAACACAAGAATGATTTACACAGACTCACATATTATTGGTCCACTGTCTAATCTTTGGACTTAGTCTTAGTAATTAGTCTTGCTTAAAACAACTTTTAGGACTAAAAGTTGGAAGTTTTAAGTAACCAAATCATCTCCTCTACGAAGTTCCAAGAGTAATTCATTTAAAATGTCATTTAACTCTACGTATTGTATACTGTATCCTATTTTGACCTTAATTTACAGTATACTTCAATCTGAAAATTTTGTAATAGTTGAACCCTAATTTAAAATTAATGTCTAAAAATTAATAAACGATACAAACCTGAGTCTCATACACTGACACTCAAGAGTTAGAATAACCCAACCCCAAACGCTACATCAAAATGCCCAATTTTCAAAATCTTCCCCTCCCCTTTAACGTTCATTGAATGAAAATCCCATCTTGGTAAAGTTAAATTGCTAGGCTTATTAAAGCTGGATCCGAGGCTTTGGATTACTATCCGTTGGAGAAAAGAAGTGTATTTTCACAGATTAAGGGAGAGATGGGTTTAAAAGTTTATTATATTGATGAGGATCCACCGGTTGCAGTGCCAGAACAAAAACCAGAAGCGGCTTCTCCGGCTTCAGTGGAGGAAAAGCCACCTGAGGATGGAGCAAAACCAGAAGGAGAAAAAAAGGAAGAGAAAGCTGAAGAAAAGAAAGAAGAGGAGAAAAAGGAAGAACCAAAAACAGAGTCCACTGCAAAAGCTAAAAAAGAAGAGAAGCCAAATCCGCCGAGTCAAAAAAATCGGATAAGGCTCCTCTAGCGCCGTCGCTAGTAGCTGCAGAAGTGGAAAATCCACCGTTGGCACACGGTAAGGAGCAAAAGGATAAACAGGGAGAAGTTTGGAATTTTCATTTAACGAACGGTAAAAGGGAGGGAAAGGTTTGAAAACGGTGAGTTTTGGAGTATAGTTTAACCCTTGTGTCAATGTGTTGGAACTACATTTGTATCTTTTATTGATTTCTTGGACAGTGACTTTAAATTAAAGTTTAATTATTACAAAACTTTCAAATTGAGGCGATTAAAGTCAAAATGAAAGTTTAATTATTACAAAACTGACAAGTTCGGTTTCAAACAAGTACTAAATGAACTACAAGCTCTAAACTATCATGCAGTGGCCATGATAACTATCAAACTAAAACAAAGCAGGTCTCATAACTAGAGTAGTATGTTATATGACATAGTACCTTACATGCACTAAAACCATCAATCAGACCAAATTCCTCTGACCAACTAAAGAATGTACCATTCGACTTGTTTTGGAAGCTACAGTTCATTATGAAGCATGTACAAAGACTTGAAGTGGGTGCTATGCTCAACATCAGGACTTTCATAAGCTAGAGAAAACGGACATCAAGTACAAGAAATATCTGATATTTGTGGCTCTAGAGAGTTTTGATATATATAGCCTTCCTCCTGATTTTGCAAAGAAGCTCTTTCTGTGGTTTGAGCTCATGACTTCCAAGTCACAGGTGGAGTAACTTTACTATTATATTTAAGTCGTTCTCTTTTCATAAGCCAGAGACAAAAGAAAATAAATTAAGATGCCTTGCCCATAAAATTTTCACTATTTGCACAGCCAACGCAAGATGCTCTTGACAAAGGACTTTAATGGGTTGAGGAGCTGACCTTGAGTCTTATTGAACTTAAGGGAGAAAAGATAGAGAAAAGGGTCCAGTGCACAATGAATCCCACTTTTGCGGGCTCTGAAGAGGGTTGATGTATGCAGCCTTCCTCCTGCTTTTGCCAGAGGCTGTTTCCATGGTTTGAACTCATAACCTCTAAGTCACAAGTGGAATAACTTTACCCTTACGCAAAAGCCACTCTTTTTCACAAGACAGAGACAAATAAGAAACAAATTAAGATGCCTTGACTATAAAATTTTGACTTTTTGCTTAGCCAACATCAGATGCTTTTGACAAAAGACTTTAATGAGTTGAGGAGCTAATTTGAGTTTTATTGAACTAAAGAGAGAAAAGATAGATTGATATTGTTAAAACTTAGCCATACCTTTTCAAGAAATATAGCTGAGAAATATGTATATGCCCTGTTCCATTTATAGCTCAAACGAATTACACTCATTCTTTCTTGAATTTATCCACCACCGTCCAGTACAACCATGTTAATAGTACATAACATCTTCCAACCCATGAAATCAAAAATTCATTGCTCCGTACCATATATATGCAACCCTTTGCAGATAACGGGCAGTCATTCTTCTTACTGAATCATGGACAATTTTCAGGAACTTGAACCAACTAAAATGTGACAGAAAAATATCTGTTTAGCCCCTTTCTATTCTTCTTTCTATTGCTGACTTTAAATATCAATCAAAGGTTTTTGAAGGGGATGTCATAGGCTATTTGATCAAATTATACCTGGTTGAATTCATAGCCTTGAGCTAAATCATGCTCCATGTTATTGCCATCATGGAGATGCAACTGTTCACCTTGATCTAAAGGCCTCATGTTAGCTAGTGAAACAAAAAGGGCTCTGAATATATATTCACAGTGCATTTGTTTTGACACCCATTAACTTGTTATCTCCCTCATCAAAATGGAAACTACTACTTACTCTGCTTTCTTCAAGATGCCCCACTTGCATTTGAGATCCATGAGATGTTATCCTGCCGGCAGTGTTGCCCATGACTCTAACAGTGTTATTCTCCAACCCACTTTTGATCCAAGCAAGGTTGCTTATATCTGTGGCTATTGCAGCCAACTCAAAACTTGGAAAAGATGGGGGCTCTAAGAAATCAACAAATTCTGGGCCCAACAATGACTTCTGAAGTATTTTGCCATTGTGGGCCTCACAGCAGCCATGACCACACCGTTGAGGAACCAACTGCTCATTGCAAACCCCATCAAGTAATTTGCGAATCCCATCATCTGGTGTTGAAGCTTGAACTAAAGGTCCTTGCACCGGAATTGGCCTTGAACACGGTGAAGCAATTTCAGGACCGTCCACAGAATGATAAACATTGAATGCACTTACACGTGCCATGGGACGGAAAAGAGTTGAAGATTCTTTTGCTTCATTATTTGAAGGAATCTCTAATGGTGCCTTCTCTTCACACTGATCTTCCATGTTATCCAGAGAGCTTACATCTTTTCCCTCCAAGGATTTGAACGAATTTGCATCTCCACAAGACAGAGTTTCTTCAGATGATGCTTTGGTTTTGTCCAAGTTAGCATCTTGGTCCACATTACCAGATGCCAACCTTAACCTCTCACGTTCAGTGCTCCTACGTCTTAGAGTGGAATTCCAGTGGTTCTTTATAGCATTATCTGTTCTCCCTGGTAGAAGTCTTGCAATTACTGCCCATTTATTTCCATGGACTGCATGAGCTGCAGCTATGATCCGATCCTCCTCGTCTGCAAGGATTTTACTTCATCAGCTTTAGTCATTAGGAAGCTTAACTAATATGCTGGAAAATCTAACCATTGAAGATAAATGCCTACGAGACTACCATAAAGCTAAATATTGCAAGAGAACACCCACAAATCATGTCCAGATCAAGAGAAAATTAGTACTTTTGAAAGGAAAAGATCAAATACTTCCAATTTTAAACTTTAAGCATATAAAAAGTAAACATTCTTCAATCATGATTGGGCAGTTCAATGCATGCAAGACTGTAAGTTATGTCTATTCAGTTTTGTATGGATATTAACTATTCCTCACCCTCTATATATACTTGACAGTAAGTATGAATGCTTTTCCTTGACATAATTATTTATTCTTCTAAGGTTTTTTCGCCCCTTTTCTGTAGTGAATTCGGAGAACTTGCGCAGATCTTTGGGTTAGACAGGCTTTGATTCATGGCACAGTTTGATTATTGCAACTGGTCAGGTAATCCCAAGCCATTGTCAACATTTATTTCTTCAAAAATCTTAATCAATCACCTTCGATTCAAATTTTTGTTCTTTGCTTCTAATTGCCAATGCAGTGTCATATTATACACATCGTATATAGATAGAGGCAACACACCTTATGTCACAATTCTCCGTGGCAAATATAAGCAAATGATGCTAAAAGAAATAGACAATACTTTTATCATTTGATTTGCTAACAAAAACTTGTGTACATATAATAGCACTAGCACAGTAGCACAAGCAATTGATAAAAGAACCATCTGAAAAACACGGACTTAACAGTCCCAAATGCCAATGGTCAAAAGGCAATGAGGATTACCGCTATGTTGCCAACCAATGTCATATCCGGTAACAAAAAGAAGAATTTCAAAATAAGAACTTTGAAAAACCTTTGAAAATTCTCATCAAGCTATTGCCACATTTTATGCAGAAATCAAGTAACACATTTCCTAGAGACGGATTTAAGTTATTGTGACTATTTGCTTGCAGACCAGCCCAAAATGTAAATATCCAGAAGATATGGTCATGGATTATGATTAAAACTTCGTTGGTGTTTCCAAATGAAATATAAAAGTTCAACCTCAATAAATCCTAATAACATACATAAATGCATTATCACGCTTAACAACTTGAAATTACCTTAATCGTGTTTCATAAAAACAGGAATCCCAACGCCAAAAAATCCATCTAATCCTTAATTCAAATACACACAGATCAAACAGTGAGCAAAGGAACAAAGCATTAACATTGCCTTTCTCATAGAAACTGAAAGGGGAATGATTGCTATACCAGTAAAAGGCTTGCGCTTAACAGCCGGGTCGAGCTGATTACACCAACGGAGCCGGCAAGATTTTCCAGATCGTCCGGAAATTCCTCGCGCAATCAAGCTCCAATTCCTGGCGCCAAATTTACTTACTAATCGACTAAGAATCGCGTCCTCTTCAGGGGACCAAGGTCCTTTCACTCGGTCTTTGCATGTTTGGCCGCTCCCGCCTCCTTCTCCTACAGCCAACAATAAATCATCTCCACTGCCGCTGCCGTCTTCTCCACCGCCGTCCCCCGAGTTGACGCCGTCGATTTCGATAGCTTTCTTGTCCTTAATTTCCTTTTCCATCTGCTAATGGTAATTAATTGAAGAGCAAAGAGTAAAGAGTAAAGAGTGAAGACAGCTGAATAGATTTAAAGGGCTACTGTTTCGGGGTTTCTAAGTTTTTACTTTTATTCAAATTTTCAGTTTAATTTACCAAGCTGGTCTTCTTAAAATTACTTGAATACCCTTTATTGAACTGGTAATTATTTTTTCCGTTCTTAAAATTCTCTCTCTTCATTATCTAATTGAAGAGGAGAAATTTATAAGTATTAATTGTGTTTAAGGTAAAAAAACAATTTAACGAGTCGTTTCATATAAATAATAATAATAATAATAATAAAACACTTTCAGAAGTTGTTTCTTACGGATTTGTATTTTTTTCAAATTCTTTACACGAGTTGTCTTTATAAAAGAATGAGTTGGTATGGACCGGGTATTGCATTGTCTATACTCGGCTATGAAGCCTCATTATCCGAGGCTTTTTTTTTTTTTTTTTTTTTTTTTTTTTTTGGTTTTTGGTTTTCATTCCTCTCTCGAAATGGAACTAAACCATTCCAATTTTATGGGTTGATGTTCTGATTTTATCTCTGGTTTGTATTTGCGTTTGAGAATGATTCTTTCATAGTTTGATGTTGAAAAAATAAGTATAAAAGAATACAGTTTGAAATAAATATTATAAAGTAACATAATTTTAGAATTAAAAGTTTTTGAGTTAGGTTATTAATGTTTAAGACATTTTTCTTCGATTACAGGTGATTATCTTTTTATGATGTCGAGCACAGAGTTGTTCACATGTCTTTAGTAGTATTTTCCTCTTCTGAGTATAATTAAATGTTTTTTTAGTTTTCAGAAACTTGTAAGAAATTGTCTAATATGAAAATGACATTAGTTCCGAGGCATAAGATAGGTACAAGTTAATGATCCGATTTCGACACTCTTGAACAAGAGCTTTTCGTATGTTGTTCTCCAAACAATCGATTTATTCATGATTGTATTGTCGCATTTTATTTTTCTGATATTTTTTTGTATGGGTTTTTTGTATCTTTCTTATAAAAAATATATATAGATATAAGATAAGTTTTTTGAAGACTACTATAGTCCTCCGTTTCAGCTTTTATTTACTTGTTATTCCCCTTTTTGGGCGTTCCAAAATTCTGCAAAGTTTTAATTATTTTTTATATTTTTTATATATTATTATTTTTTTTTCCATAATAACTTTAGTAATTGTTCATGTAAATGAAAAAAATTTATAATATTTTTGTATAAGACTAAAAGTAAAGAATAATAAAATTTTATTGATAAATTCTTAATATTCTAAAGCACCGAGGATGTGTAAGAAACCTTGTATCAGAAATTTGGTGATTTGGAATAGAAATTGATGTTATAGTTTTGGTTAGTTGCATAAATAAAGAAGTTGAATCTCTAGTTTGGGGAATGATGGAGTTAACCTAAATGACCTAATTTGCACGTTATTAAATAATTTCATGGAATTAAATTTATGCTCAATACTCTCTAGAGTTTGACTGAAGATAATTAGAGTTATGAGTATGAAAAAATGTGGTGAGTTAATTGTAAGTCATCAGAATTAATACGAATAATATGTGTTAGTGTAAAGTTAATTACATATTTGTTGTGATGATGTTAGAGGGATTGAGGAGGCTTCTGATTTCAACAATGGAGCATGATTTAGGAGTTTTTGGCTTGAGATTAGTGGATTTAATTTTTGTATAGAACTAAAGAAAAAAAAAGGGTAGAAAAAGTTGTAACTGACACCGTATATTCCATGTTGAACAGATCTGTTACTGACGCACAAATTAGTCCTTCAGCTTCCATTGTGGATTGTGATCTGGCCTACGCTACTTTGGAGAGGTTGCTAACTAACGCAAAAAAATAACCAGATGTTCTATTAGTTAATCCCGGAAATATTGCGTGTGAGGTTACCTCTTTTTAGAAAGTTCAAAAAGATGGCAATCCTAATAAGTATCTTTGCCCAATGAAGTAAATGTACAATAAGTATAAAGATAATCGTATAAAGATGAATAACTAAAATAGAAGAAACAAAAATTAAGATATACACCTGATAAATTAATTTTCGCACCCAATTGTTGTCCATAAGTAAAGCTAGGTTTGTTTACAACCGTCTCATTATTCAAATGTATCGAGTTTTATTATGAGTATGATTTATGTCGACATATATTATGTAAAGTAATAAACAAAAATACTAGTTTAATTAAAAAAGACATAAATAAATGAATGAAAATAACTGTCAATTAGGTTTCATATATATCATACAATCCAAATCCTCATTAAAATAAATAAATAACAAATAGAAACGAATTATTATTTTTCAAATTAGTTTTGATATAATTGTAACGTAAAAATTCTTAAACATAGTACTTCTGGATGAACGAGAAAAAAAAAAAAAAAGGACAATATGTTGGAAAAAAAAAAAAAAAAAAAGGACAATATTGGTGGGGCAATGCAATTTGGGCCTCTTTTGGAGCCCAATTTCGCTCTCCGTGATCCATTTTCCAACAATTCATGTTGCCATTGGCACCAATACAAATATTCAATCATAAATCAAAATTACAAATCTATCCAATTTCAGTTAAAATGTGAGCTAAAGTTCTAAAAGGATTATACACTATTTTTTTTACTAATATAAAGCAATTATACTTATCATTACAATATGTAAAAGAAAATAAGAAAGGGGAAAAAATTATTTATAGATTCGTAGTGACATGTAAGTAATTTAATTATATTTAATAATCGAATTATAAAAAATAATTATAATATTTTTTTTATAATTATAATCTTATACTAACTAGTATTATTTTTAATAATAGCATACTTATTAAAATACTATATATAAAAAAAATTAACCCTTCACCACCAAAGCCACGTAGTTCTAAAGCAAGAAGTAAAACTTAATCTATTTATAACTTTGAAAGAAGCTTATTATTGAGTCAGTAAATGAGAGTTTGCAGTAAGCTTAATCATAAACAGGAAGATCATAGTTGAAACTGCACTTTTTGAATGCGAATTGGAATTTGCTTCTGATATTGAATTGTCAACGGGTGAGAAGTAGTAGTTATTTTGACATGTGATAAAAACTAAGAAGTGAAAGCCTGAATTGGACAAGCTCATTGGTCACCTGCTTTGCGTGTATAGATTTTTCACACTTCTTGATCCATTATTTTCTTCTAAACTAATCCCTAATCTACCTAACCATCTTATAGGATTTGTTCAAATACATACGTGAGGGGATAACTAAGTAATATTACTCATTTATTATTTCATTTTATTTTTTAATTTTAGTGGTTGAAGTAATATCACAGACGAGTTCTCATATCCTATAATTAGGGGTGAGCAAACTTAAAAAAAAAAAAAAAAATCAAAAATCAAAAATCACACTGAACCGACGTTGTTTGGACGCGGTTTTTAGTTTGAATAAAATTTGGCTTTTCAGTTTGGTTTAGTTTTGAAGAAAAAAATTATGATTAATCGAACTAAACTAAAATTTGGGTCAGTGTCGTTTTGAACCAACTATACAACCTTCAATTTTCAGATTTTGGCTAACATTTAAAACTTAATATGAAGTAAAAAACTTTGCTTATTCAGATAATCGAATCGAAAATTTGCAGTTTGATTTTTCTTCTAAAATGGTTTGAATTAGTTACCAATATATAATTTCAGTTATTCGGTTTTCCAAACCAAACCACTCAAATTCACACCCTACCTATAATAAAATTTATATCCTACTAATAAAATCCGATCCCAAATAAATATTCAATTCTGAGTATATATATATTAAAATATTTGCGTATGAAATTGAAGTCTTTTAACCTAAAACTCTTTCTTTAATGAAATTTAATATATGCCATGATTAATGTGATAAAATCATATATATTTCTTTAATGACACGCAAAAAATTTCTTTAGGCATATATATATATATATATTAGTTAATATATATATATATATATATATTAGTTTATTGAGAAGTTCATTTATAAATAATTATGAGTTAGTTATGCATTGTTGAACAAAGAAGTTGGAAAGGTAGGCAACAACCCATCTTTCTGTAAAGCTAGATTTTGAACTTTGTCTTAAAAGACAAAAAAAGGCAGGATCCTCTTTTTCTTCTGTTTTTTTTTTTTTTTTCATGAATTTAAGAAAGCTAACTTGTCAGTAATAATATTATAAATATTAATTGTGCTTTTGCACTTAATTTGAATAAAATCAACAAATGATGAGGTAATAAAACCTTTTGAGACACACTCCATTTAGTTTACCAATATTAAACAATTCTCTAATTGTATTATTTTATTTGATTAATTTATAGTTTTATTAGTACAATATATACAAATTAAGTTAATTATCCTTTGCCCAAAATAACGAACAAATAATTTATATATACCTTTCTTTTAAATGATTTATACCTCTTGGCTTTTTTATTTTCCATTAAGTCCATCAATAATAATTATTACTAACTATTGAATTTTGATCTCTTCAAAACCAGTTTAGTTTCTGATGACAACTCTTTAAGCTAATGGTTTTTGACACAATACTTACTACATATAGACTTTTCCATGTCCAAAACATATATATGTATTTTTATTCTTCCATTTTTGTTAATCCTCTTGAATTATCTCTAACACAATTAGTACTATTAATTGGTGTTTGCACATTACTGAAAATAATATTTTTTTTTTTGTTTATTCTTATTATAAATAAATAAATATACAGTTTAAGTGTTAATTTTTGCATTTTGTCAAGACTATATGTAACGGATAAATATTGATAAAGACTGTCTCAAGTGTTAGGCATATTTAAATGAATGATTTCTACAAAGTAAGAGATTTGATTTATAAAAACACTCGTAAAGAGAGACAATTATAAATCTTAAATGAGATTAGTTTCGTATTAAAAAAAAAGAATGTCAGAATACCTGTGGAATCCTCTTAGGGACATATGCAAGCTTTAGGTGGGAAGAGTCCTGACCCTAGGCAAATATATATATGACCCTAGGCAATTATTATATATATATATATAATAATATATTATATATATATATATAAATTGAGTTTATTGTACCAGAAATGGGCATTTGACATATAGGAGGAGAAATATATAAATGAGTTTATTGTACAAGAAATGGGCATTTGACATATAGAGGAGAAATTTAAAAATTTATTGTGGAATATTTTATGAATTGGTTGATTAACAGTGGAAAATGAATCAATAAAGAAGCAACAGACTGTGGAGTTTATGTAAATAGAAGCTTTCACTGAGCCGTTAGAAGAGTATAGCTTGGAAGCAAAGACAAGTGGCCAACTCTCATCTATATTAGGATTCAGTGCCAAAAATTCTAGTCAACGGCTACCTAACACAAACGAACAGCAGAAATTAACTAATTTGTAATTATACTAATTAATTGATAATCATACATAGTATTTTAATAAGACACACGCATAGAAACTTTTAATTCTTTATTTTTAAAAACTTATCTGCTCCCCATTTGTATCAACATTGACTACAGAAAGCAATTTCTTGGTTTTAATTGGTCAAAGACAACATTCCATCTTGTGATTGGCTGTGATCTTTAAATTGCAAGATTATGTCAATACCTACTTATGTTATTAATTCAAAATAAAAATGATTTTCGCCAGCAGAAAGCTTCATTTTATCTTCCTCGCTGATTTTCAACAAGAAAAATGGACTTTTTACTATACAATAATTATGTAGAACTTTTCTACTTTCATATTTTTTTTTCTTGGCTTCCTTAAGATAAGAAAAGGCAGAGATCATATTCATTCAATTCGAAAAGAAATGTCAAATGCCTAACCAAGTTTTTATTATTAACTTAACTATGAACTTGGGAACTACGTTATGTAGAAAGTCATAATGAAAAGAAACCGTGTATTAAGTAGAGGAGGATGCAGGAGAGGGAGAAGACTATTTCATGGTGTGGTGGAAAGAAACACCAACACCATGAGATTAATATTCTTGTGCTCATACTTATCATATGTTCAATTTGACCTGGGTTTTATACAATTGAGTCAAAGAATATATATATATATATATATTCTCGCAAAACAAATTAATTTGTTTATGAAATTAGATCTTATTGAGATCTTCAAAGAGAGAATTTAATTTTAAGACATATAAGTTGATGAGTTTAGAGGAGAGTTACCCCATATTATGCTCGCAGTATTATTTCGGCACATGAAACCTCCCAAAAGAATAAAAAAAAAGAAAAATTTTAATTTTAATACACACAAATTGGTTTGACGATTTTTTTATAACTTTTGATATTTTAAGCACAAGATTGTTTTCAAAGGGTTAAAGACACGAATAATTTCTTATCGTCTTATTAACTAGGTTCAACATTTTCTCGTCACTCAGCATGTAAAATAAATTAAGAAATAAATTTTCATCCTATAATTTTTTTAGCGAGCATTTTCTCTATTTACAAAAACACTAAACCTCTTATGTGATTGAATTTTATACGTTCAGACCAATTCTTATTTGTAATTATAATAACTTTATTTGATAGAAATGTATATTAAATATGATTAAGTTAGAATAAAAAATTTCAAAAAATTATCTTCATTTAAAAGGTAACAATAATTGTTTAAGACAAATGAAAAATGAAATAGGATAAAAAAATTATGAGAAAGATAGAGTACTACTGCTGAAACATATATTCAAATCCAACTAGGTTTTCCCACGGTTCCCTGTATTGGTGAATGGTAACGTTCAACTGTTGATTGGGTCTACGAAAAAATAAGACCGATATATTAATAATATTATTATAGTTAGGGCAGCTTTGATTTCAGTCTGTTTTTTAGAGAAATTAGAACCGAAGGACTAAAGAATCATAACTATACCAAATTATATTTTTGATATGATTACGATACGTTTTTTCGGTGTTTTGATTGTAATTTTGGTTACGGTTTCGATTTCAGTCCTCTTATTAGAAAATATTATATTTTTAAAATACATCGTAATGTTTCCTTTACATAAAAATATTTTAATATCAAAATACAGTTACAATATATGCTAATTTTAAAAAAGACTTAAACCGTACCAGGATATACACTAAAAATAATAGTCAATAATATGAATTATTATATTGTTAAAATATTATATCCAATAAGAGATTATGGGAATCATCATATATTAATTTTTCATATGAGATATAAATAACTTCAATTTATACTCTATTTATATTATTAATTAAATAGTATTAACTAATAAGGATTTTATTTTCAAATAATAAAATTTGAAGCGGGTTATAAATAACATAATACATTAAATGATTAAAGAAAAACATATGTATAAATTAAAATATAAACTGTTGATTGGGTCTACGGAAAAAAGAAAGAAAGAAAACTTTGCTTCCCATATGCAAGTAAACAATAATTATATGCAGAAATACCAAATTGAAAAGGGTAATGAAATTGAAAATTGTATTTTTTTTTTTTTTTTTTTTTGGAAAAAAGAAGAAAGGAAAAACTTCTTCGCCATATGCAAGTAAACGAATAATTATATGCAGAGAATACCAAATTGAAAAGGTAATGAAATTGAAAAATTGTATTTTTTTTTTTTTTTTTTTTGTTTTAACAACCAGGACCTTCTTATTATTCTTTTTATATGCAGGGCTTTATCTGAATATTATTTAAGTTTACTGTCCTTATTCATTTAATTATTTTACTGAATTTAAGGTGTGTTTACTCGAAAATTTGTATTTAAAAGTCTTTGGCAAAAAAAAAAGAAAAATTGAATTTTTTTTTTTTTTTTTTTTTTGTTTTACAACCAGCCTTCTTATATTCTTTTTAATATGAGGCTAATCTAATATTATAGTTACTGTCCTTATCATTTATTATTTACTGAATTTAAGTGTGTTTTACTCGAAAATTGTATTTAAAATCTTGGCAAAAAAAAAAGAAAATTGAATTTAAAATAATGGATATCTGCGTTAAATTTTATTTATTCAAAAATATAAAAGAAAAAAGAAAAGAAAACAGCTAGACAGCTAGATAGCTTGTTTGCTTGAGCAACCAAAATTTTTAAGACTTGCTCCCTTCTTTTATGTATATTTTCTATGGTCTAACTTAAGCAGGTAGATATCGAAGGTTCTGCTAATACATTCATTAATTTCCATTCAAATCCCTAATCTCAAAAGTTTTAGCCATATCATTACGCAATCTCACGACTCTCTCAACTCACCCTTCCTATAAATAACATGCAGGCTTTACGATAATTATTTCAAAACCAATTAAGAGTTTAGCCTTACCCAAAAATACTTACACACCTTAACTATCCTTTGGTTCTTTTCACTTCAACGACATGTCTCCTTTTCAGTTCTTGCTATCCTGTGCTTCTTTAGCACTTGTAGCTTCATCAATGGCTTCTGCTGCAATTGTCGAACATTCTTTCGAAGTAATTTTCCTTTTTGTTTCCTTCTTTTCTTGTTCCATAATTAGCTTAACAAGTTACTTACAAAAACCCTACTTATGTTATCTTAGCTAGTGAAGCGCAAAGCAAGATTTATATACTTATATAGACTCTAACAATGTTCTTGATTTTCAGGTTAAAAACCTAACTGGCCGGAAACTGTGCAATGAGCAAGTGATAACGGCGGTAAACGGAAGCTTACCTGGCCCTACTATACGCGTTAGAGAAGGCGACATTCTTATTGTTCATGTCTACAATAAGTCTCCATATAATCTCACCATTCATTGGTAAATAGTCCTTAATTAATATTAAAAACATTGATAATTGGATATAACAATTACGAAAATTTTGACTTTTATAATAAATTAAGTAAAAAGAAAAAAAGTGTTCATATGTATCCTGTTTAATTTATGACAGGTTTTCCAGAGAAACAAAAGAAATTTTCAAAATGAATAAATTTATTATATAAACTTTCCATAACTTATTTTCTAGTAAAAGTTCGTTTCCTATTCAATTTTTGCTTTTCTTCGACATATATAGATACTGTTGTTCCCATTTTTTCCCATGAAAACGATAGCAACTGAGTTGAATACGTGTCCCTGATTCTTTAGTATATCAAGAAAGTATACGAGTATGTATTTTTTTTTTTTTTTTCTAACCACTACAGGTAAACCTAATTATGATGAGAAATCATTCTTATAATATATATCACATTTTTATGATTATAGATGAAGAATAACTAATTATATTTTGTTGGATAATTAACAACAGGCATGGAATATTTCAAAAACTCAGTGGCTGGGCAGATGGACCTAATATGATAACTCAATGTCCAATAATGCCTGGAAATAAATATACATATAAATTTAAAGTCATCAACCAAGAAGGTACTCTTTGGTGGCATGCTCACGTTTCAACTCTCCGAGCAACGGTCTACGGAGCGCTCATTATCCGTCCAAGGTCCGGCCAACGCTACCCGTTCCCTAAACCTGATAGAGAAGTTCCCATCTTATTAGGTATACCTTTTTTCTTACATGAATCAAGTATACTTTACCATTTAACCCGTTTTTTTATGGGCGGCGTTATAGCTTTTAATATATACATACATATGCTTCGGGTGTATAATATAACAAAAATATATATATATTTATATAATTGCAGGAGAGTGGTGGAATGCTAATGTTATCGACTTGGAAAACCAAGCACTTGCTACCGGAAACGCACCTGCAAATTCAGATGCTTACACCATTAATGGAAGGCCTGGTGATCTCTACAATTGCTCCCAAAATCGTAAGTATATACATAATTCAATTCATTTTATTTATTTGTTTAAGTTAACGTATTTATGTTTAATAATTGAGTTTAATAATCTAAGTTCAATAATTAAGTTTAATAATTGATTTGAGTATCTAAGAAATAATATTTTTATTGTTATTCAATTAATTAAATCAGAGATATACAAGCTTAAGGTGGAGAAAGGAAAAACCTATCTTCTACGAATAATCAACGCTGCACTCAATAATCAACTTTTCTTCAAGATAGCCAATCATAAGATGACAGTTGTCGCTGTAGATGCTGCCTACACTACTCCTTACGTCACCGACGTCGTTGTCACTGGTCCCGGCATGACGACCGACATTCTTCTCACCGCCGACCAACCAGTTGGATCTTACTACATGGCGGCCAGCCCATACGCTAGTGCTCCTGGGGTACCGTTCAACAACTCAACCACTAGAGCCATCCTAGCTTATGAAGGCTCCACGGCGGCAACCCCCATTATGCCACTAATGCCTGCCACCAATGACACGCCGACCGCCCATAAATTCTACAGCAATCTAACTGGTCTAGCTGGTGGACCACACTGGGTCCCGGTGCCACGTCATATTGATGAGCACATGTTTATCACAGTTGGACTTGGACTCGAAGCTTGTGGAACGAACGCCACGTGTCAAGGTCCAAATCAGCAACGATTTTCTGCAAGCATGAACAACCATTCGTTCCAGCAACCAACAAGCTTGTCGATGTTGCAAGCCTTCTTTTTCAACGTCGCCGGAATCTACACACCTAATTTCCCCGATAAACCACCGGTGAAATTCGATTATACAAACACAAACTTAAGCAACAATGCTTCTCTGCTATTTGCACCTAAAGCAACAAGCGTAAAGGTACTGAAGTATAATTCAACGGTCCAGATTGTTCTGCAAAACACAGCGTTGCTTGCGGTGGAGAATCATCCAATACACCTTCATGGTTTTAATTTCCATGTATTGGCTCAAGGATTTGGAAATTATGATCCTGTAAATTCCCCTAAAAAGTTCAATCTTGTTAATCCACAAGAACGCAACACCATCGGTGTTCCTGTCGGAGGATGGGCCGTCATAAGATTCAGAGCCAATAATCCAGGTAAATCTAATTTATTTCCAAGCTAAATAGCTTTATAGTAATTAACAAACTACCTCTCTGATATTCAATTTGAATTGGATGATTTTGTAGGTGTATGGTTCATGCATTGTCATCTAGACGTGCATTTGCCTTGGGGATTAGCGACGGCTTTTGTTGTTAAGAATGGACCGACTCCGGGGTCTACCTTGCCGCCGCCACCGGCTGATTTGCCAAAGTGTTAAGAGTTGTTAATTTGCAATTGATGATCTGTGTCGACGTTGAGTGGAACTTTTATTCTTTTAACGAGTTTGTATTTATTTTCAAATGCAAAATTGATTTTAATTAATTGTTTGATTGGTTGGTACAGATTAAAGTCTTTTGTAATAATGTAATGTTATCAGTCCATTCTTTGTCAATTAATTGTACCAAGTTCCAATTGTTTGATGTAGTCTATTTATTTTTTTCTAAGAATAAAATACTACGGTCTATTTTTATTTTTGATTTTAATTTTGCGAAAGATTTAATATATTATACACCTTATTTATTACACGCGCACTGACCAGTAAAAAAGTGCTCACGTATAAAAAATAAAAATGAATTGAATTTTGTTCATTTATATGGAAAACACTCAAAACACAATCCAGAATTACTTCAAGTTGCAATAATATTGCTCCCTTCATAATATCCACTCCTAATGCTTTTTTCGCCACCACCTCCATCTCTACCAGCATCACTACCGCTGTTCTTCTCCATTCATCATAATATCTTCATGACTAACAACTCAACAATACAAAAGAAAACATCATTGCAAAAATTTATGGTGCATAAGAATAATCAGATCTATTGCAAACATCTAAATGAGTATTTCTAAATTGGTAGAAAGGAAACAATCAAATATCGATTTGTTTTTGGTAATTATATTGTAAATCAAGCACTGTAGTCCAAACCTTTCACAACTAATTAATAATTTACAACTGTTAGCTCAGAAAAGCTAAAAGGCACTATCCAAAATTAGCAAACTCTAATCAATTAAGTAAATATTTTATTTAAAATTTGGTTAAGAAAACATCCTCTATTTCACAAGAAAATTTTCAAGAATTCCGAGGAAATTCAAAGGCATGGATTTTCTAATCAAACCCCAAATTGATTTTAAAATTTCAGATTAAAATTATTAGTTCCAAAATGAAACTGATCTGAGCACAGAGAAACATAAAACTATAAATTCTATGGAAACACAAAACTAATCCCTTATAAATTCCAGAATATAGCAAATAAAAGATTTTCACAAAATAATATGACCACTACACACTAACTAAGATTCAATATTATTTTTTGTCTAAACAAAGTAAAAATTTATTTTTTACATTTTCAAATATTAAATTTAAAAAAAAAAAAAGAAAAAAAGAGGGAGACAGAGAAAGAGTTGCAAAATTAATATACATAAATAATGAAAATTTTCTAATATGTTGTTCTAAACATTCAATTACCCATGAAAGGAAAAGTCAAAGATAATCATAATTCTACGTATTTATTTTCTATTTTTGCATATGTTTAACCATATCCAATTATATTCTCAAAATAAAGAACAAACAAAATATACAAAAATACCAATAATCCGATGAAGTTCCCCAAAATCAACTGTTTATCGTTTTTAATCTTAAATTTCATTTTTTATTATTTTACATTTGAATTTTCACTTTTTACAATTTCTGTATTTTAATCATTTAAAAGCGTGAAACTAATTTTTCATTTTGTTTGCACAAAGATTCCCAAAAATTGAGTATAACAGAAATCAAATTTTATCCATTTTATTCTTGCATTTCAATTTTGTTATTTATTTATTTATTTATATTTTTGTTTCCACTTGCATTTTTTTGAATGTATATTTGAAAAATGTCAAAAATAATGTATTTTGTTTAGATAAGAATTGGATTTCGTTGACTAAAAAATAAAAATATTGGTCCTAAACTTTAAAACTGAACTCAATTGAATAGAAATAAAATAGTTGGAGACAAAGTGTAATTGTTTTTTTTTCCAAATTTTTGTTGGGATAGAATTAATCCCAAATTTATAACTTGACCTACAATTAGCTATGATGTCACTGATTAAAGAAGGGTTCAATTGCACACTTTCTCTTCAAAAAAAAAAAAAAAAAAAAAAAAAATAGTTGAGACAAAGTGTAATTGTTTTTATTTCCAAATTGTTGTTTTGGGATAGAATTAATCCCAAAATTTATAACTTGACTCCTAACCAATTAGCTATTGTATGTCACTGATTAAAGATAGGGTTCAATTGTGCACACTTTCTCTCTAAAAAAAAAAAAATAAAAAAAAAAAATTGGCTTTTATTTATATCCAAATATTTGGACCTTGATTTATAAATTATTTTTAAGTACCTTTGTTGTATTATAATATTTGCTGCTTTAACTTGTGTGTTATATTATTTGCCTCCTCCTTTTTAAATTTTGGGCTTCAAAAAAAAAAAAAAAAAAAAAAAAAAATTGCTTTATATATCCAATATTTGGACCTTGATTTTATAATTATTTTTAAGTACTTGTGTATTATAATATTTGCTGCTTTAACTTGTGTGTTATATTATTTGCCTCCTCCTTTTTAAATTTTGGCTTCGTATTACATATATATAATAATAATAAATGAGATACAATTATAATAATTCACGAAGTTAGGTAGAAAATAAACGTACTGAATCTCAATTCTTTTTAAATTTTCTTTAAGAAACATTTGAATCTCAAGTAACTAATCAATGAAGTGAACAATAACTATAGTATCCATTATGAATGTTGAACTATATCAAAATTAAGTCATATTTGGAATTAAATTAAATTAAGATACCTAAATTGAAATTAAAATTAAATCACGGTTGATTAAGTCACACTTGGTCATATTTGAAATTAAATGAAATTGAGATGCATAAATGAACTTAAATTATGTAACATTTAAAATTAAATTAAATTAAAACATCCTAATTGAAATTAAATTAAATCATACGCTTAAATAAATTTGAAATTCAATTAAATTAAATCACAATGGATGAAGTTTATTATTTAATATGGAATTTATGTTATGAGACTCTATTTCACATTCCATTCTACTTGATCAATTAAAAGACGGGACAATGCAAGGATGGAGCATATTATCCAATATGCATGTTAATTAGAGGATGTACCCAAATTAAATTTGACTTTTATGGGGCTTCTTACATGCATTTTCAAATTTGCATTCCTCACTTCTTTTGTGGATTTGTCATAATTAAAGTAAGAAACAGAAAATTTCTCTCCTCTTCAATAAACAAAACAATTAAAATGTACTGAGCAAATTTAGACATTTTAATAAAATTGTGGGAGACACAAACTATGTCAGTTTAGCAGTATTCATTTACAGTATCTTTTGAATACTAAAAATAAAATATTTATCAATCAGTGTTGGGATGAATGATTCGGCACTCTTTTCCTTTAACGCCGAGAGTTTAATTCTCGTAGATGGAGTAAACAAATACTTGCTGAGAGCACTTTATCCTTTATCCCTTAGTAAACCAACCCGATGCTAGTAAAATAAAATATTTGGTGCAAACAATATGTGTATAGTTGATTTAACCTCACAACGAACATATAGTTGAGAAAAAAAGAGAGAAAATGTTTGGTAAAATATATATTTGATCGGTAATGGTTTGATTTTATCTTAAATGCTAAAAATTTTAGCTTTTTAACAAAATCAGAAGTGGGCCGAAGGATATAGGCACCAAACATTGGGGCCTAAGCGGCTTGAGTCCCCTTAGCGCCTAGGCCCAGCCCAGGTGTCACTTTGTAATCTACACATTCGACCTGTTACTTTTTTTACGTTACATGTTTCAGAAGTTGATTACAAGAACTATTATTTTTACTATTTCTATCACGTGTTTTATATTTAAGACATTTAATTCCAAAAATTTTTCCATTTAAATATCAAAAAAGAAAATTTTAAAAGATTAATAAGCCAAAAGCATCTTTATATTTTAAGAAATTAACTTTTTTTAAAGCCTAATTTTGCACTAGTAAATTTCATAAAATTTTAATGAATTGGATTTTAAAAAATTAATATATTTAATAAAAATGAAAAATTTTTGTTTATCCTATAAATTCTCTTATATAAAGTTTAATAATTAAATTATAGTATTCATGTATACTTTAAGATTACATCAAGCAATGTGTTAAAATGGAAAGAAAGCAAGGTTGTACTGTACTTTCTTTCCAATCCCAATCACTTGCTTCGCAAGAAACTTGATTCAAAAAAGAATGCAAACGGACTTTTCTTTATTTCATGCAATAGGAAGTAAATATTTATTTACTGGCCTAACATTTATAAATTAAAGAAAAAATAAAAATGGCAAAATAATAATTATCTTGTTAAAATGATATGGAAGGACAGATGAAATGAAGTGGGTTTGTCTATAACTTATTAAAATGAGAGCATGAACATCACACTTCAATGGAAGGTAAATAAAAATAATGTAATATAATATAAATCCTCAACAAACCTCACCAATAAATGGAATTTCAAATTTAACCTATTGATCCTAATTCTGATGAACTCCCTAATCACTTATTCCTGATCCGCGATTTACACTAATTTGCAATTAATTAAAAATAATATCGAAGCCACAATACATTTAATCATAACCATTAACTATTACATGGGAGCCGAAGCAGGAGCAACAATGGATGGTGTTGATAAATCACCACTGGTAATAGGACCAGGGGCTGCCCCTGAGCTCATTAGCTGTATCAACGAACGGTGGGGATTGGTCCTGGCTGCGTCGCACAGATCAGGCAAAAATGCTCCTGCACACACACACACATTTCCAATTGTCAGATTCTATTCCCAAATTTTTGGACTTGGAACATATTCTTTGATTGCAGGTCAAGTCATTGCAGTATAAGTAAGGGTTCAAATTAATTAATTAATTAATTAAATAAATTCGTGATTGTGAAATTTGAAAAAAAAAAAATATTTAATTCCACATGCACTATGAAATTTCAAGAATTATTATTAACCTCTAAATGACAAATTTTGATTATTAATTCCCTAATTTAAAAAAATTCAAAGAAAAAGAAATGAAAGAAGTAGAAATGAACAAGAGATATAAATGTTACCTTCGCCAGCAGCCAAATTGAAGTAAAGATCGATGATGTTTGGGCATTTCTGGTAACAAGGTGGAGAGCAAAGCTTAGCAGTGAAATGAGGCTCAAGAAGTGCATCAGAAGAAATACCAACAGAGTTTCTATCAACACCACAAGCCTTCACACATTGATCAGTCTCTATATAATCTGCCATTGTCTCAACAATAACTTCTGAGGTTCTGCACTGATACTCCACCTTCCCATCTCCCCTTGCATATGTCTCCAACAAACACCTCTTTCCTGATGCTGCGATGGAAAATGCACACACATCCTTCGGCAATTCTTCACAGTCGATCTCGCATAGAGCGACACGGAGCAAAAGGGACGAAAGAAAAAGAAGCAATGGAAATCTGAAAAGAGCCATGGATATTGGAAGGTATTAGATTGTTGTGAGCTAGTGATTTGTTGAAGAAGTGACAAAACAACCAAAAGAGGGTTTTGTGAGAGAGAGTGAATAGAGGGAGTTGAGTTATATTGGAGAAGAATGGTTCGGATGGAGTCTATATATAGAATAATGGCCTTCTCTTCGGGTTTTTACCCGTGTAACGCGTATGCAGCGGCTCCATCTACCTATATTAGGAACGCGTTTACTTGGCAGGCAGTTTCTTGCTTCTTCTTCTTCTTCCTCATGGTCATGGAGCCCATACAATTAAGCCCACGTATCATCTTATTTATTTTTTCCTGGGTTTGTACGTACGTATTTCTTTATTTTTTAAATTTGTATACATGTCTTTATGTTTAGACCGTAATACTATTTAAATAAATTCTCCATCTATGATAACTCTAGGTAAAATTTTTACATATTCATTTTTTAATTTGTACGCATGCTTTCCATGCTAGGGTTGTGAGTGATAATCAGGTAAAATTCTTGTAACATTTTAAGTAAAATACACATATTTTTTTTTTATTTGGTTTGTATATAAATTTTGTGCTTAGACCGAAATAGTATTCAAATAAATTTATTTTCCAGACGTATACATTTTCTTGCTGCCGGTATAATTTTTATTTTAATTAGTTCTGAAACACGAATTGAAAAATCTGTAAATGCGTGTTGATAGTCTATTCTTTGTGGACTTTGCCAACCTTCAAATCCAAGAAGTTTCTTATTTTGCACCAATAGTACCAATTTCACCTCCTCCATTAATCTTTTATAATTAATAAAGATACGGTAGAAAAGTAGCCAATTTGGAAATGGACAGGCCAACAATTTATGTAATGTTGGAGAAAAGGTCAATTTTTGGAGGTATGAAACTGGGAATGACGTAGAATGACATTAATTAGTGACACGTGTATATCGAAAGACTTCCCATTTTTCCAAGTCTTCATGGAAGAAAAGGCAAAGGCCAAAGGCTTCTTCAAAGTTCAAACTTACTGAGAATTTTCCAGTCTATATAATACAATCTGGAGGTTCTCTCACGCAATTGACCCTCCTACCAAATACCACTTTCATTTTTTTTATAATACAAACGTGTTATTATTCTTTGTTTTACATTATCTTGAAGATTCTAGAAACGTTGAACCACTAGTCTAAGGGAAAGAAAAGCCAAAAACTCATGTATTTAAAATTTTCATGTATAGTAAAATTAATAATCAAATTAATATATATATATATATATATATACCACTAGTTCTAAGGAAAGAAAGCCCAAAAAAAACTATCATGTAATTTTAAAATTTTCATGTATGAGTTAAAAAATTAATTAATCAAATTTAAATAATATAATTAATATATATATATATATATATATGTACACTATAGTTTTCTCCAACTGCACATTGTTTTTACTTGTTAATTTTTACTCATTGCAACTAAATGTAATTTAATTTATATAAAAATTTTCTATTACTTTTTATTACAAGTTATAATATTATGAATATTTTATAATTCTAAAATCTAAAGTTATTCACAAAATAGAAAAAATATTTTATAAAATAATAAAATAAAAAATTCAATAATTAAATAATTTGTTAAGAAAAGAATATACTTGTAATATAAAATATTATTATAATTTGATAACTAAATTTTCATGGAAATAAAATTACTTATTAGTCAATTTTAAATTTTTTATAACAATTTAATATATTTAATTAATTTAGTATTTTTATATATAATATAATCTTATAAATTATCTTTATTACTAAAATACGAAAAACCAATATTAGATATGTTAATAATTAATATACTAATCATTGTTTTTAGAGCATTATCTAATTTCAATTTTTTTTTTTTTTTGCCTTCTGTAAAACTCTATGAGTATGTAATTAATTTTATGGTTTTTTTTAAAAGAATTCTGTTTATGTGCTATATTCCTTAATAAATAATACTAAATTATATTTATTATTTTGTAGAATAAGTTACTTTATAGAACTTAATTATAATCAATCAAATTAAAAATTTACTAAAATAATAATTAAATAAATTATATTCTTACCATATATATTTCATATGTATTTTATATAGTATAATATAGTCAATTAAAACTAAATTATCTTTATTTTTTAATAAATAAAATTAAAATCATTAAAAATATTATATTCTTACCATATTTAATATATATCATATTTAGTATATAATATAATTTCTTAAATTTCTAATAGAATTTAGATTTAAATAGAAAATAAATATAATTAATTAAAATTAGTCTATATTTATTTTTTCAATCAATAAAATTAATTATTTTTCAAATCATAAAATTAAAATTTGGAAAGATATTTTTATTTTTAAATAATTAAAATATATTAATTATTATTTATATTAATTATTATTTTAAAATATCATTTAATTTTTATTTTTATTTTTTAGTTTTTGCTAAATTCTGTGAGCATATAATTAATTTTATAGTTTCTTTTTTGAGAAAAAAAATTTCTTTCCATGTTTTATATGATTTGCTAATATGACGCGTTATATAATAATTTTATATATATATAGTTTTATTTTCTATTATATATCAAATCATAAATCTTATAATGTATTCTTTAATAAATAATAATAAATTATATTTACTTTTATAGAATAATTACTTGCAGGAATTAATTATTACCAATCAAATGAAAAATAATAATTAAACATATTAATATTCTTACCATATTTAATATGTACATAATATAGTATAATATAACCAATCAAAATTAAATTACTTTTATTATTTCAACCAATAAAATTAAAATCTTTAAAGATATTATATTCTTATTATATTTGGTATATACCTCATTTAGATTATCCAATAGAATTTAGATATATAGAAAATAAATACACTAATCAAAATTAAAATATCTTTCTTTTGTGAACCAATAAAATTAAAATCCTGAAAAATATTATATTCTTACCATATTTGATATATATCTTACTTAGTTTATTCAATAGAATTTAGATTTAAATAGAAAATAACATACTAATTAAAATTAAATTACTTTTATTTTTCCAACCAATAAAATTAAAATCCTTAAAAATATCTTAAAAATATTTTATATCCTTTACCAATATTAAAACCCTTAGAATATGTACCTTATTTAGTTTATTCAATAGGAATTTAGATTTAAATAGGAAAATAAAATATACAAATCAAAAAAAATAAGTTACCTTTACTTTTCAACCATTAAAATTAAAATCCTTTAAAATAATATTCAATAGAATTTAGATTTAAATAGAAAATAACATACTAATTAAAATTAAATTACTTTTATTTTTCCAACCAATAAAATTAAAATCCTTAAAAATATTATATCCTTACCATATTAAAACCCTTAAAGAATATGTACCTTATTTAGTTTATTCAATAGAATTTAGATTTAAATAGAAAATAAATATACAAATCAAAAAAAATAAGTTACCTTTACTTTTTCAACCATTAAAATTAAAATCCTTTAAAATATTATATTCTTACTATATTTAATATATATCTTATATAGTATATAATATAATTCATTACTTTGTTCAATAGGATTTAGATTTAAAAAGAAAATTAATATTACCAATTAAAATTAAATTATCTTTTTTTTTCTCAACCAATCAAATTAAAATTCTTAATGATATTTTTATCAATCCATAAATTTAGTATTTTGGCAATCTTAACGTTTCTACTTATTCCCACACATATATATACATATTTAATGAAAAACTCATGCAGATTTGTATAGTATACCAAGGGATTGACTTGTAAGTAGTAATCATAAAAAGTAATATTTTATTGAATATTCTAGAAATAAAAAGTATTTTTGACTATTTTAAAAAAATAAAATAAAAATAATTTTTATAAAATCTCTATTTTCATTTACACATATACCCAAATCTAATCCGTATTCAAAAAAGAATATTCATCTTTTCCTCCCTTCACGCTTTCATCTCTCAAGCAAAGTAAAAGTGAAATATTCTTCTTTCTCTTTCCATTTCAAAAGTGAAATATTTTCTCCAAAGATTACTGTGATCAAACTATAAATTAAAAGTAATTATAAAAATAAATAAATAAAATTCTATTTTCAACACTTATACCTTTACTCTTATTCCATTATGGTAACCAGATTAAGTTATCTATAGTGGAAGACAATTTTGGAGTCTCAAAAATAAATTGGACCTTCTAGTTGAAATATAGTGTAACTACAATAAAATACAAAGTCGAAAGTATTTTTACACCTTAAAAATGATTAATCCTTTTTTTTTTTTTTCCTTTTCTAATCTATATTTCTTGCAATAAAATTAGTAAAGAAATAAATTCATAATGCTTTATTTTTCTTTTAAAAAAAATCATGTATTACGTTGAATATTTTCGGGATTATGTCTTTGAGAAAAATAGCATTCTTTTACTGTTAAAAATTGAAAATTTTTAAATTAGTGTTTCCATAACTTTTTTGTTTATTTTGAAAGATTTACGTTATTTTTTTATAATAATTCAGTACCCATAAATGTGGGAAAAAAAAAGTTAAAGACATGTTCCAACATTATAGTACAATAATTAATTACATATATTATAAAAATAAAAATATTTTATGCAACAGATACTTATTTATACCATCTATAGGTTGTGACTCAGTTGGTAATATAGGCTGGGCATGTGAAAGAGCTCTCATATTTAATTCTCACTAAACAAATTAGGCGGTCTCTGGTAATAGTGTCCGAATAAAAAAAAATTATAGATACCACTAAAAAAGTTTTGTTGATTGATTTAATATAATCAAAATCTATCTATCTATATATAATCCTGAAGCAAAAAAAAGGTTTTAAAATGCTTACTTGGCACTCTATATATTAAGCATTTTACTTTTCCTGTTTTTAGAAATTTTTGAGTTTTTTCTAGACTACTTAATTAATTAATATTATTATTATTAATTAATAAAGATGACTTTAAAAATTTTAATTAAATTCGTGTTAAGTAGAACATTGATATTTGTGATATAATTAATTTATTACAAAATAAAAAAATATTAAATATAACCAAAATGTAGGTAATGTTTATAAATTAATAATGAATTAAAAAATACAACCAAATGAAATTTAATTTCTAAAAATTTATAATCTAACAATTAAAAATAATTATTGTAACATATATTGATAGATTAGAAAAATAAATTTATAAAATTGATTAATTGTTTTAGGGTACAATAGTATGAAAGTTGCATGTTGCATTTCAATCATACGGTGGCATTAATCATTGTGAGGATACCCTAAACTTTGCATATTGTTACAATTGTGTCTTATTTTTTCTCCAATTTCAAATATGGGGTGTAATTAATTTCTAAGTTTCATTTTAAGTTATAGTTATCAAAATACTAAAAATATAGTGCAATTATAATAAATTGTAAAATTCAAGATTACTTTTATTTTTATTTTATTTTATTTTATTTTTTTGAAGATCAAGATTATTTTTACTTATTAGACCTAAAAAATGATATCCGATTTTTTAATTTTAATTACATTTAAGACCTTATATTAAAATTTCATACATTTAATCCTGTAATTGTACTTTAACGTACTTGAAATGGTTTTGCAACAAATATAATTATACCTCTTAGGCTTATAATGCTATTAGTTTAGTTGTTTTCAATATTGATAACCTAAATATATTATTAAATAGTACTCCCTTCGTTCTATTTTGGTATTCATTTTTTAGATGTCCCAAAATATTTATAAAATTTTTAAATATATATATATAAACAATTATTTTTTCCATGATAACTTTTATGATAATGAACTTTTATTAATATCTTAATGAGTTAAAGGTAAAAAAGAATAATAATTTTTATTGACTAAATTCTAATATACGTATTTTGTCAAACCATGCAAACAAAATCAGACAGAGTAAATATATACACCAATTAGTAGAGAACTTAATTTAAATTTAAATAGATAAAAATAATTAAAATCTTAATTTAATTAAATTCTTGCAAAATAAAAAAAAAAATTGAATTCTATCGAATCCTTACACGAGTTTTTCCAAGCGGGGGCTCCAAACACCATTTTAATTCTCGCGTTTTCCAGATCTACCGGGTCGATCCAAAGATCTGTTTAACTACTGGGCCGAATAATTGTAAGATGGGCTTCCAGAAGCCCAACTCAACCAATTAATGCTTGTTTGCTCTTCCGATTGGAGCCTTCAACGAACCATGATCACATAAAAATTAAAGAGACGATGATAAGTGGGACCATAGAAGCAACGGAAATCGTTACCCACCACCTCACAATGCTCAGTACAATCCAAGCAAACACACTGCTCTCACAGAAACCTGAACAAGAATAATATCAAAAACAAGAAGAGCTAGTGAAGTGAAGAACAAGAGAGCAGTGAAGACCGAAAGAAAGCTAAACCCCATGGCTGCCATAACACCACCAACATCATCTCATCTCCTCTCCGCAAGCTCACGTTCGCTTTCTCGCCTCTCTCCTTTCCAATTATGCGTCTTTGACACCAAGACACTAGTCTCATTCCCCAGCAACCATATCAGTAAGAAAAAACATGTTGCTGGTGGAGTTAAGTGTATGGCTGTTAGCACCACCTCAGATGCAGAGACCAAAAAGAAAAATATGTTCGAGATTCAAACACTGACAAATTGGCTGTTGAAGCAGGAACAGGCAGGCGTTATTGATGCTGAACTTACTATTGTGCTCTCTAGTATTTCAATGGCATGTAAGCAGATTGCTTCTTTGGTGCAAAGAGCCAGCATTTCTAACTTAACTGGAGTTCAGGGTGCTGTTAATGTTCAAGGAGAAGACCAGAAGAAGCTTGATGTGGTCTCTAATGAGGTCTGTTAATAGAAAATTATGTTCATAATCAACATGCACCGACAAATATTAGCATATAAAAATTAACTGTCAATAATAATTTTAGAACTATGAATTTCATCATCTTTTGATATGAAAATTATGATTTTTATAATCTTTTGCTTGTGAAAGAAGTTTGAATACTTGCAAAATACTAGTTCCACAAGATTGTATTTGGAATTCTTTATTTGTAGCTAGGTTATCACCCTATGATCTTCTAGCAACTCACCTATTTTCAAAAATCAAGTCATAATTATAAATTCTGGATTTGAAATCAACAGTACCAATTAAAATGTGTCTATAGCAATGAAGTCCATTCTAATATGCACCATAAGGGGAAAGAGTTTTAGGCTATCCTATCTCTCATTCTTAAATAGCGACATATTTTGTGTGAATCATTAGGCACGAGTATTGATTTTTACATTTACAGGTGTTTTCTAACTGCTTGAGATCAAGTGGGCGTACGGGGATCATAGCATCAGAAGAAGAGGATGTACCAGTAGCAGTGGAGGAGAGTTACTCTGGAAACTACATAGTGGTCTTTGACCCACTTGATGGGTCATCCAACATTGATGCTGCTGTGTCCACTGGTTCCATCTTTGGAATATACAGCCCAAACGATGAGTGCCTAGCTGATGTTGGTGATGACAACACTGTAAGAGAATTTCATGGGCAGTTATTGGCTTTTATTGAAGTAGTTATCAAGCAAAAAAGAAGATAAGATCATAAGACTGCAGCTAATATCCAATTGTTTGATAATTTCCCAAATTGCAGCTTGACAGCACAGAACAAAGGTGTATTGTGAATGTCTGCCAGCCAGGAAGCAACCTTCTTGCTGCTGGCTACTGCATGTATTCAAGTTCAGTGATTTTTGTTATCACCATTGGAACAGGCGTGTACGCCTTCACCTTGGATCCAATGTATGGAGAATTTGTTTTAACTCAAGAAAAGATTCAGATACCAAAGGCCGGAAAAATTTATGCATTTAATGAAGGAAACTACCAATTGTGGGACGATAAGTTGAAGAAGTACATTGATGACCTTAAAGACCCTGGCCCTAGTGGCAAGCCCTACTCCGCTAGATACATTGGCAGTTTGGTTGGTGACTTCCACCGGACACTTTTATATGGTGGAATTTATGGTTATCCCAGAGACAAGAAAAGCAAGAATGGAAAGCTGAGGCTCTTGTACGAGTGTGCACCTATGAGCTTTATAGTCGAACAAGCTGGTGGGAAAGGATCAGATGGGCATCAGAGAATACTTGATATCCAACCAACAGAGGTAAGCAAAAAATTTGCACCTTATAGTTCATGTACTTCAAACTCTCCATTCTTAAATTAATATTTTTTTCTTTCCAACACCAGATACATCAGCGAGTTCCACTTTACATTGGGAGCCAGGAAGAAGTGGAGAAATTGGAGAAGTACTTGGCTTGATTGAATTTGTAAAAGCAAAGACAGTAATTTTGCTTTTGAAGATAAATGCATCTTTGATAGTTTCTGAAAAAAATACATTACTGAGAGCAAGAGAGAAGCCATTTCTGTTCAATATATGTCACCTAGTTTTTGGTCCACAATGAAAGAAATTGTTGTGGATTTAGCAAAGAAGTAAGTGGGTGATTCAAAATTAATTTTAAGCTGATTTTTAACTGAACTGCATCCACAAATCCAAAACAGCAGCCACAAGTCCAAACTTGCAGGTTTGAAGTTTGACTTACAATTTGAGTTTCCAAAATCACATAAACAGCAGTTATACATTCAAGGAGTGGCACCTGTCAAAATAAACAAAGGTGTGGAATATCACCATCTTTCAAGTGACTATCTAAAAATGAGATACATTTAGTCAACGGCATCATTCAAGTCAGGGTAAGCTAGAAGAGAATTTCAATCTAAAATAAAGAACAAATTCGTTGGGGGAAAATGACCTAAGGAAGTAAATACAGCATCCTAAGATCAATGCAAGAAAGAAAAATCTGTAAACAAACATGATACAGAGTTGAATTTTAAGAGGCTTATTTCCCAGGAGAATATGATGCAACACGTGTTTCAATTTCCGAAAAAGTACAATGTGAAGTTTTCAGGCCACATTAGCTGAGGATCTATAATTTCTAGGTCCGTTCAAGGGTTCAGGCATCTAAATTCAAATTGTGAAAGATAGTTGAGTTAAATGGGAAAAGAAATCCCAAACAAAAACTATAACATAGAACATAAACGTAAAAGCTTAGTAGTAAGACCAGGAAGTAACCATATACCATTGTGCTTTTCCCTCCATTTCATACACAAGTACATGCCAGTCATCCATAACAATAACTTCCTTGATAGTTGTTGTTGGGTAAGTGCTACCTCTGCCAAAGTTAATAACGTGATGATATAAGCAACCAATCAGTATATATATTGTCATCAATAACAACTAGTTAAGAAATATGTGTGAATGTATATCATAGAGAAAACCATTACTCATACTCCATGACATATGTGTCAATGTATATCACAGTGAAGACTTCAAATTGTCTGAACATATGTATCAATGTTGTCAATGAATGAGGAGGTACTTTTTTATTTAGTCTTCTTAGATAGAATTTCTATACAGTAGATTGTCTTATTGGCAAGTCTATTGACGCCAGCAGGCAAGCACACATGAGTAAAGCAGACACCAAGTAAAATAGTATGCTAATACCAGACTAGAATGAACTTTTCAAATTTTGACAAGCCCCGGACTGGCGTCCTATTAAAAATTTTAATCATAAAAAGACCAGTGGAGAACAAAGCAATCATACAAGTGACTAATGTAAAATCAAACTCATACAAATGACTAATGTAAAATCAAACTCTACAAGTTCCACTAGTTACATGCCAACTATTAAAGTTTACAAATGATAGTGCTAACCTGATAAGGCCATACCGATTGAAAAGGGATGTCATCCAAACGCATGTCAAGTAATCGTAGTCAAACCTGGCCTTTGCAGTTTCTTTAGCACAATTAATATTGCAGAAAGACGATTCATCTCCTTCAGACCCTTGCCTTTTTCAGTATACCTACTGAGCTAGTGGGGTATTGGTCGTGGACTTGCAAAAGGGTTTCCATGTTTTCTGCATCTCAAAGTCCAGGAAACATGATATGAGCAATTGGAATCTGGACACCTAGATAGTTCTTTTACCGTTGGAACTTGGAACCTCAAACACTTAGAGAACAGCTTAATTTCAAGTTTCAAATTTATTAGAAGGCTTTATTTCCATGAACTGAAATCAATGGACTGAAGTGATATATCACCAACATAAAAATCCTTTAGATGCTGGTTACACAGCCCAATTCGTCTTCCATTCAAGCTGGGATGTATACAAGTTGAGAACCCTGTCTTCCAACCAGGAAACTTCTGTCTTTCCATCACATGGAGAGTATAAACACTAGGTGCTGCAGCTGAGCATCCCATGACAAAACAATTGCAAGGCCGTGACTGACTCACCATTCTTGCTAATGATAGCAAACACAAGCCACTATAAGAGATTCCATATGTCAACATCTCATCATTGTCAAAAGCCAGAGAGTTCGATGCCTGGTTTTCCCTCTCTTCCTTTATATCTTGGGTTGAAAGAATGTTGTTCAGCTCTAAATCAAACCGTTTCTCTACTTCATCTTCATGAATCCTATATTTCGCAGCTAAAGTACGGATGCAAGATTTCCAAACTTGAAACTTAATTATGAGCTCTAAATCGGCAAAGTTCTTACAATCACCATACCACCTCTGCCAACGGCGAACAATGCCTGAAAACCAGTAAATAATATGGGCTTTATCTTGTAAAATAAGTTGACGATTCACACAGGAGTGACCAGCAGGTGTGATCAATCCATATCGTAATAAACGTTTTTTAATAACATTAACAGGAGCAATTATCTCAGTGATCATCTCAGTGGAGGAGCTGGAATTTGGCAAAAGAGCAAGAGTTGTAGCTGTCTCGGAATTAACATATCCGTTTGCACGCTTTTGAAATTCATGAAATGAATCTCTCAATTCTTTTGGAAGGGCTGGTTCTGCAATATATTTAGATAAGATAAATTCCTCAGACTCTGCTGCTTTAGCGGTTATATCTTGCATCCATATCTTAATTAAGAGCTTATACCAATGATCAGTTTCCATTCCAACTTTGCGAAAGCAGGAAATTTGGCTCAAAACAGAGCTACTATCAGCTAAATGCTTGATCTCCGACTCTTTGACCTTTCTCAAACCATGAGCTAACCATTTTTTACCAATTCTAATTGTCCCAACATCCCATGCTTCTTGTTTTTGCGAAGCAAATAACTTGACTTTTTCTCTCAACTTGTGAACAGCCCTTACAGCAGGACTGTCTTTCACACGTCTTCTAAGCAAAGTGCCTAAAAAGCGAATTACTTGAGGACCTGCACAAGGTGCTACTTCCATTTTACCAGTAACATCTAATAGCAAAGTATTCTGCAAGTAGCCCATGATCTCGGACATGAAACCAAGAGCAATGTCTTTGGATCCAGAAACTGCAAAAAATAACTCATCCATAAAGCGACAAGAATGAATTTTTGGACAAGAATTCACCTCCCCCGTGGTTTTAAGACCATTCCCTTTTAGCTGTCTTCTAAACCACCTGCGCAACTTGGAATTCAGCTGCCCTCCTTCAAGATGAAAAGCTGAACTGAGAGCTTCATATTTCATTGAAAGTCTGTAAATTTCATGGTCAAAGACATTAAGATATATGTTCATTAAAATAGGAGACAACACTCCCTCTTGTGGAAGACCATGGCCCTTTGGATAACCCCCAAATTCCATGTTGAGTACCTTGGCAGCATCCATGCCTTGAATGATATCATACAAACAAGGGTCTTCAATCTTATCCTCCATGATTGAGATAAGTTTATCAAGGACACATGCATCCAGCTTTTTGCTAATTGTTAATGTAAACCACCAATCAGGATTAGAGATCTCTTTACTGATGTATTTTAATGCTGAATGGTGTCCTCTTCCACTTCGACAACCATGAGATATCTTAGAAAAATGAGGCCTATAGACAACTTCTAAAGCTATTCTCAACGCTTCTTGAACAACCTTCAACTTCAGTTTAGGAAGGACAAGGATTTCTTTTCTTACACCCTTTGTAGAAATAGAAAAAGTGTTTGCACTGATATCAAAACTCCCATTAGAGAGCTCTTCTGCTACAGATTCAAAAGATGTATCATCTTTATCTGATGCTATATCAACATTTGCATTAAGCCTAATACAATTGTAAGCATCCTGGAGAGTTTCTGGATTTGCAATCACTTTCGTAATAAGATCGCGAAACTTCCCATTCAAAAATTGCTCCTTCACCCGCTTCTTTATGCGGAGTTCAAGAGACCTCTTGAGCTCCATTCGACTCTTAGGTCTTCTGTCATTAACATTTGAAGATTCCTCAAGAACAAAAGCTAAATTTTTAGCCAATGTTATTTTTCCAGCATCGTTATCAAAACTATCATTAACTTCAGCTAGAGTAGAATAATTTGCCCAAAGTTGCAATATTTCCAGGGGTCGTCCTGTTCAAGGTATAAATACTACACCGTAATTTTTCTTATTAAAACTAAGCAAACTATCAAAAACAACTCACAAAATCTATTAACTAAACAAAACGCATAATATATCGCAGATGGTATCCAATAGAGGTGTTACCTGACAGGCGTGCGGTGGTGGGGTGCGAAGGGAAAGCAGAGGAGGCAAGTGTGGCGCGGTAGTGAAGTGGTTGCAATGCAGGTACCTTAAGCAAGTTGCGAAAGTGACATCCATTGACAAAAATCTTTCGATTCATATATGATTTTAGGGTTATCAGAGCATCGTTGAACTCAGTAAATTGCTTGAACTTGAACGGTGATTGATTTTGGGGAGAAAATAATGGGTTATTCCTTAGCTTTTAGTTGAATGGCTTTTCATAGGATGGATAATCGCATTTTTGCCGGTCGATGTCGTTCAGACAATATGTTCATGGTTCGCTTTAGAAGTTTATTCGAATAAAACCTGTGATTTAAAAAAATATATTTTTTTAATTTTATATGATTTTAAATTTTTAAAAAATGAAGTGGCCGGCGTTTCATTTGTTTGGGTTTGGTGGGCCAGACACGGTAGTAGCTTTATGAGTCTCTTAAACGTGTTTTTTTATAGTATGACTTAAGGCCCAACCCAACAGGCTTAAAAAATTCCCTATAAAAAATAAAAATTAAATTGAAAACGCATGTACCCCCAAGAGGCTACTAGCTAGTAATTTAAATGTAAAGGTAGTAATACATGAGAAATTCGAGGAAATTCTTCGGTAGACTCTACCTGTCAATTATAGATTCACTCAATAAAATAAAATCAAACCAACAACTTGCTATTTTTTCATCCCATATCAAAAGAAATTCTTAAATATAGTTAATCTACTATGCCTATAGATCCACCCAATGAAATACAATTATATTATTTTTTTTTTCTAGCTTATTTTCTATTAATTTGTTCACATTTATCATTTGGTTAGAAATCGGAACATAATGGCATTGATTTGGGAGTTATTGATATGGGACGAAAAAAATAGCAAACAGCTGATTTAGTTTTATTTCATTGGGTGAGTTTATAATTGACATGGCACACTGTTTCACGTGAAGATGAAAGCTCTGGAGATTCATGTGTTCAAAAAATGTTTAATTTTTCACATTTTTCATTTTTTTCACTTTTCCCCCATTTTATGATCTCATTAACCTTTTCCAGATTTTCCCATTTTTCCACTTTTTCTCCATTTTATGCTCTCATTAATGATTAATCTATGGCAATGAATTGATTTTGAAGAACATCAATTCTATTAGCACACAAGCCTTTTTAACCTTATTAATAAGCTAATTTGAATTTAATGACTAATCTTATAATTATTATAAATTTCTCCAATATCTCAAATAAATATTTAAAAATATCTCAAGGTACAAGACCGTTTTATCAATGACGGTACTAGGGGTCTAGGGGTAGCCCCCGCCCTCTTAATAAATTTTTTTTTAAAGAATTTGTCTATAAATTATTAAATTTTTTTTTATTTTACCTCATAAAATAGTAAACTTTTCAATTTCGCCCCTTTAACTCTTTAAGTTTTTTTAGCCCCTTTAACTTTAATTCCTAGCTCCATCACTTTAACCCTACTAAGCTAATTTGAATTTTCTCTAATATCTTAAATAAATATGTAAAACATTTCAAGTATTAATAGTAACTTATCATATACATTCTTTTCTTTACAATTTACCGTACATATAGTCACCTTTGCATTTAAACGAATATTTTATAATATTATAGAAATGTATATTTAATAACCGACAAATTTGTATAAAAGTTATGCATGCAAGTATTATATTTTCAACTCACCAAAAAATTATATAATATAAGCTGAAAATTATATATAATCATAATTTAGTTATTCACTAGTTTTAGGTGCTCGTGCAATGCCAAGGGTGGCCGTTTTTATAGTTAATGAATTTATACAATAAAGAATTATATAAATTAACATTAAATTTACAATAGTTTATGCAATTTTGTAGAACAGTTGAACTTTTATCATTTTTACGATTTTAGCGATTTTTTTTAATTTAGACAATTATAGCAATAAATTTATTTTTTTATTGCAATTACATCATCCGTCCTACATCCGTTCTGAAATTGCTGATGTTGTGGTTAGTTGTACCCATATTTTGACACATTAGCACCACATGACCGTGCCACATTAGCAAACAAAAATAAATAACCAAAAAAAAGCCTAAACCTCATCTGTTTTGCAATTTTAGCCAATTATTTTTTTCTAAATTTGAAAATATCATATGAGTTGTTTCTCCAGTACTTGCATATACATACTCAGCACATAATTAATTATAGTCTAACCATATACAATTTAGATTTTCTTTGATGATTCTCCAAATCACAACCTATTTGATGTAAAATTTATTATTTAAAGTTAATTATTTAGTTATTCACTTAATTAATAATTAATATATTATACAAAAGTAATAATTTAATTTCAAAACAAATAATTTATGTTTTAAAATTAAAAAATAATTTATTATAACCCAAAATAATTTATTTTAAAACAAATATTTTTTAAAATCTAAAAAATCAAAAGAATGACAGAAATTCATATGACATCAATTGTCAAAATTAAAAGAATCCGCTAAAATTGTAAAAATGATCAAAGTTCAAGCTTTTTCAGTGGTTTGACTCTTTTCTTGGCTGATGTGGCACTAATGGTGTTAAAATATGGCCCCATTAACTGTAATATCCGTAATTTTTAATTGATACACAACGGAGGCTATAATTATAATGAAAAAATAAATAAATTCACTGCTACAATTGTCAAAATTAAAAGAAAGAATTAGCTAAAATTACAAAAATGATAGCATTTAGCATTTATAGAATACATTTATAATAGCATATCTAATAGTTTTTACATGACAATAGCATATCAATTTTTGTTTCTAATACTGAATATGCATATTGCTTTTAATAGGCACATAAGCTCTAGCAGTTTTTCAAAAGCCTTAACGCATTTCAACATTGGTGATTTCTCAGAGTAAAAAGGTACATAAAACTCTCCCCTATTCTTTCACACATCTCTGTTTATATATTTCAGAATAATAGCTCAATAATTGAGATTGAAGAAGAAAAGTTTTATTGGCCTTTAAGTTATAGTGAAGATAAAGAATGGTATGTGCAAGTTGAGGCACATAATGGTCTGCAAAGCTCTCTCCAGAAATGCAGAAACCTCTGCAAACTATTTACTGATAAGTCAATTTACCAAAAACAAATAATGCCATGAAATTTGTTCTTTAAAATGTTTTGTCATCACTATATACTCCAAATGGTTCAAGCTCTTGCATTAACTGATAAGTCAGAAAAGAACAACCAGGCCTGTGTAAAATGTTACATTAATTAATAATTGGTTTAAATTAATAGATAGTAATAAAAATATATTTAAATTAAATTTTAACATAATAGTAAAAAAAGAATACTATTCTTAAGAAATAAATAAAATTTAGACACAATGGGGAAAAAATACTAATTAAAAAAATAAAAAAAAATTGAAAAAAGAATGTATCGAGTACCTAATATTTAGCCACAGAAGAAGAGGCAAAGGTTTCTTAGAACACTTATTAGCTTCAGCAAAGTAACGGCAACAAGGTTAATAGCAAACACACCCCATTATGTCAAAGGCCTCTACTTACATTTTCCTAATATTAAAACGATCGGACATTCTCAAATAAGAGAGGGTGGGCCTGTAACACCCACCGTCCAATCCCAAGAGACTCGACGACTGATGCCACATTTGGTGCCGGAGGCACCATCCTAACCTAATATAAACCATACAATCATATTATGAATTAGAAGTGACTTAGTATTCACAAGGTTATCAAGTAATTATATATGGTGGGCCTGTAACACCCACCGTCCAACATCCCAAGAGACTCGACGACTGATGCCACATTTGGTGGCCGGAGGCACCATCCTAATCCTATATAAAACCATACCAATCATATTATCGAATTAGAATGACTTAGTATTCACAAGGTTAATCAAGTATATTATATATATATATATTATATATATATATATATTATATAATTATATATATACAATAATTATATATATATATATTTTTTAAAATGATTTGGGAGAAACCTTCAAAAAAATTGCAAGAGTTTCCCTTAAAAATAGAAGCCGCCAAACATGTGAATACAAAGTACTCCCAAATTCAAATTCCAAACCCCCATCAAACTCTAATAACAGCATAATAGCACTTCTATAATTTCATAACTACATAATTCATCATTAACATTTTAGTATTATCAATTAAATGCATTCATTTAAACATATCAATTTCTAATTTTCTAATCATTAAATAAGTTCTAAGTTTACCTCCCCATATCCACCAACATAATTTACAATAACATGCTTAAGTCGTAAATTAAATAATATAGTCTCCATAAATGTAATACTTATACATGCCATGATTCTTAGTTACATAAAATACTAATCAACTACCAAAATATCTCTTCTGTTCTGATGCTACTCTTCAGGTTTTTAAACAGCAAGCACAGTCTCCAACTTGCGCGTGATAAAATCAACCCGCTGAGTATAAAACTCAGTGGTGCTCATAAAACACAACAAACTCATGTTGTGATGGCAACATACTTAAAAATCATTTATACACATAAAATCATTAAATTTTAAAATGCATTAACATATATACACCAACATATCATGCTTTAGAAACTCATTTGATATCATAAATAAGTTATTGTAAACTAAGATTTAATAACGAATGTGATCTCATCTATTTCATTTCCTTAAAAATATTTTATTAGGGCTCACATACACTTCGGAGAAAAAGAAGCAGATAAGTTTTCATAGCTTATTCATAATAGGCTTAAGTCGCCAACTTATCATAACATATAGAGCGCGTCCGCCCTAACATAAGACACCAACATGCCTAGCATATGATCATACCTTCTTATCATAATGACATCAAATGCCGAGCATGCTCATCGTACATAGTAAATCATATCATGCAACAAATTCACACCAAGTATAATAGAGCCAAAAATTCTTGTTTTTTAATTCTTACTTCATAACATTTCTCATAAAAGTCATTTTCTTAAAATCATAATAAAAACTTAATTTAAACTTAAGTAATTTATAAAAATTCTCATACTTAAACAAAATGACTTAACATAGAAAATTTCCAAAAAGTAACATTGACCTTTGCTGTGTTTTCAAAAACATAACTTGATTATGGGTCTCCAAATATGAATAAATTGATTCATTAGAAAGCTAAGGACATACATTCTTAACATAATGTTATGACAGGGACCACAGCCAGATAAACTGTAAAGATAGAAACAAAACTTTAGGACACAGACCAACAACCAACCGATTCAGCAAACAAAGTCCCAATGTTTATGAAATCCTACTTAACCAAACACTCAAATTAAACCAAAATCCTAGAA